ACCCCCGGTCCCCTCTGTCTCTGTCCCCGTCGTCCCCACACCTCCTGTTCACAGTCGCAGCTAAGCGCCGGCCAGATTAAGCGCCATCTAAATGCATTGTGCGCTGTTTACTAGTGGATGAAGCGCAATACTCTGGGGATTTTAGATCTGCGTGGATAACAGAAGGGAGGGAGCGGTCCGAAGGTCAGACCAGTTCAGCCACCCCGTGCTCGGACAAAGCGTTCCCTTCAACAACACCTCGGTCTGGGTCTGTGTATCCCCGCCTCCCGCTGATTCCAGACCGAACATTCTCTCTGCGTAGTGGCCCGAGGTCTGAGTGAAGTCTTTTCGCAATCGCCCCACAGATTCCAAGAAGCTGGAAGCAAAGATGGCGTGACCAAATATCAGGAGCTGTCTGTGGTTATCAGTTTACCATCGCATCCACTCCGTAGTGTGTACTCAGTGCTAGCCTAGTATCTTAGTTCCTCAGTCGTTGTGCGGGCTCGCCAATAGAAGACGGGTTTGCTGACTGAATGACGACTGCACATAAAGCCAGCCTGGCTCCTGGCTTTGGCTGTGCTGACTTCAGCAGTGATCCGTTGTTATAGAGCGGTTGAGCGAGGCATTGTTTGAGTTACTCATCTGTTCCTATTTACGGTATCAGCACAGAGGTGATGTATGCGAATGGATAACACGTGCTGATTGTGTGCTGATTGAGTGTGATGTCATGCACGTGCTAATCCTAAACTGATGATCAGTTGAAGATCTGGCGATCACGTATCGGGAACTGGAGACCATCATGGCCTCTGGTAAGCAGTACAGCACGTTTGTGGTCTCAGTGACGTAATGGCTCACCTGATGAGCAATACCCACTCATGCGTCCTATACTTACGAGAACTCAACCGCACAGAAAGCCGCCGATATGTGGCTGACTGGTCATGGGACCTCTCAACCGGAAGTGATGCGTCCTGCAGACAACGCAGGCCAGATGACGTCACGAGCGGCGGCTAAGATGATGACTTGTCCTTCCGGGTTTGCGAAAAAAATGTGGTTTCCGTTGCGATGTGGAAGAAGGAACAGGTCAAGTTCTATAGCCAGTATGAATGCAGACGATAGTGATGACTTAGGGAGTCCGCACAGTTCCGGTCACTGTAGCCATTGGAAAGAATTACGAAGCATGCATCTGTTTCTGGATAGACGTATGCGTCATAGCTCTCCGCCGCCTCTGCCTCATAGATCAGTGTCTCAGCCTATCGTCAGTGACTCAGCGGCCTCTGGAGCTGGCCTGAGCCTCCGCCTCCGCGCGGCTCGTCGGCCGCGACCGACCGTGGGCCGCTGACGGGGCTCCAGGGAGCCGCCTGGCGCTGTTGCCCGAACGGTCTGCCGCTGTCCAGGTCGATATTCCTTGCACTGAGTCACCCGACGACGTCAATAATTCCAGACGACGGCGGCAGCGGCAGCGGGGGGTGGAGAGGGGGAATGGCGTCGCTAAAAGTGGAGCTTCGCTGGGTGTAGCCCTCGCGGGTGGGTGTTTTGAGTTGGGGTTTGCGCAGCGCAACTAATCAAGATGTTCTACTTTTGATATGTTTATCTGTTTTCAACCTAAAGATTTAGTTGTTTCACAGATCCTGTAAAAAGTTATGTGCTGCATTAAATGTCCTCTCCAAATAATAAATAAAACCCTGAATTGTATCGCGCATCCTAAAGCGCAGTTTTCAGATGCCTCTTCAGCCGCATCGAGCCGATCGGATGAGCGATAAACGCGAGGGACGGAATCCCCCATACAGAAGCCTGATGAAGATAACGCGCCGATCGGTCCCTCTGTCCGTCCCCGTCGTACGGGCCAGGGCGAGGGGAAGGGTGGACGATATTGTGGGATGGTCCCTCGCCGGGGTCCGATGGGCTGTCGCAGGATATGACCGATCCGGAGGGTCTGATCGATGGAAAATGGGGTCGGCTGTGATTGGTTTTCGAGGACGACGTGGGCCGGAGATCGGTTGATTGATTGAGTTACTGATTGATCGCTTATGCAATAGATTCGTCATTACTGGCGTGAGTAGGTGACAGCAGCTTAGTGGTTCTGAATGCAGGCAAAACTATGAATGGCACGTGTTTCCGAGCCTCCCTCGGAGTATGATTCATTGTGTACGGGTCGTAGCTTGCTGGCTCGGCTTTCGAGGAACGCTGCATGTGCTAAGGTTGACAGACCAGCTGCAGCTTTTGTTTGAGGTGACATTGTATAAGGCTGCAGGCGGCTCAGTTAGCTTCGGTCATGTAGAATTACCCATTCTTACAATTTGTTATCCACGGTTTGTTTTGGTATTGATCTATGATAATCGACATTTCACACAACAACCGTTCCAAATGAGACAATGTGAGACGATATGAAAAAAAAATGGTTAGAAAATTGCAAGTTGCTTTGATTGGCAGACCAGTGGACCACAGTTTGACTAAATGTCTCTTATCGCGGATCACTGCCTGCCTTTACAGCACCGAAGTTCTCCTGAACTTGGGCCACTGTATTTCTCGCAAGCAAACTTTACTCGGGCTCTCTTTCTTTGCTTGCCCCTCAGCATCGCGGAGTTTTCCTGGTCCTGGCTCCTGGGTCACTGGCTTTTCGCGTGGCCTGCCTGCCCACGACTTGACCAGACTCCGCGGCTCGAACGTGCCCTGACTGTTCCGTGGATTACTAGCTCCGTCAGTGATATGCAGAACACGCGCGTGCTGTCATGGCCAATCAGCGCGTTATGCTATCGTCGAAGTACAAGTGACATTTGTCGGTGGGGCCTCATCTCTCCCATGCTTGGTCGTGGTCTGGACATGACATGGGACGATAGGGAAGGGCTAAACGGCTGGCGACTAGCGCGAAATTCTTTGCACAGAGACGCATTTATGGATAGTGAATAGTATGAATGTCGCATGCATGGTGTGAATGTCAAATGGAATTAGTTTATATCTATCTGCCTTTGCGCACGATGCACATGCTCGACTGGCAAAAACGTACTCGATCATTCGAGTGCAAGAGTTTGTGTGTGCACTTTCACTATATCGTTGACTGCACATCGCGCCAGTCTGGTCTGGGTCACGACCTCTCGAAATGCGTGCGATCTCCAATGACCTCGTGTGACCCATGCCACCCTTTCAAAACGAACATCTTCCTCTCCAAGGTAATTACGCTCCAGGAACCGCCTGTGGAGATGTCCGGTTGCGTCATATTTCTGCTTTGTAGACGGTTGGGGTCGCGGTGAGTTGAAAGTGAAAGAGGGTCGTTTTGTCCGTGACGTGTGGGTCATACGCCTCCGGCTGACGAGCTCAGTTAAAAACGACGGGACTAACCACCCTCTTCCTGTTCCTTATTCTCTTCAAGATGGCGGCGACCAACACCCTCACACGTCCAGACATCGTGATAATGAGGAGACAAAGAAAACAGGGCGCCGATGAATCCAGTTTTAGATTGGTTCCTGACTCATGCAATTTTCAGTTGTATCGACCAACTGACTGCCGGTGGTTCCCAATAGCCATGGCCCATAAAGGACAGGTTTGCCTGCCGTGTCTCAGATTACCCTCATATTTCCCGATGAAAAATTCACCAATCGACACATCGCGCGCGGCTGCCCACTGTGGACTCATTTTTCAGCCCGGCCTCGTGCGCAGTAGCCGTCCTCCATGGCTCGTGTGACCAGGGCTATTTGTAGTGTATAGCCTGGTAGATCCGGAATGGTTGCTAGTTCTCACTCTGCAGAGTGAACTGATAACCAATAGCCGACATTTTTTTAAATAAAAAAGACTTCATTGCTTTTGCTGGAGACAACAATACTCCTCACATGGAGACATGTATTATATATGAATTTGATTTGGTGGGAAGTTTAGCCAAAATTTGCCTAATAGTGAATTTTCAAGTAGGTATAGCTGCAATGTCCTGCCTCTAGACCCACGCACCAAAAGTCTCCACTGGGTCCACTGTCAGCTGAGCGCGGCACAGTCACAGTACCGGTCAGCCACGGTCACGAGAGGAACCGGCCGGCGTGGTCGGAGGATTAGACAGCCTCGCGACCGGTTCGGGCCAGGCCGTGAAGGGAACGGCACGGGCTGGGGGGGGGGGGGGACTGTCGGACATGTGTGGGGCTGCGGAATAGTTGGCCTTATGAGAGACAGATACAGTGGCGTGGCTGTTCTTGCACGGACACCGGGCGTTTCGATGATAAATGTAGCGCCAGTTTTTCGGTGTCGCGTGCTACCTTATCTGCGGTGTTGTGTTCCTGGGTGCCGGCCCCTGCCGGCTTTTTGCTCCGCTCCTCGCCCCTGTCGTGTCGGGGGAACGGGTGTGGACCGCCCCGCCCCGTGTGACCTTGTCCCTGATCGGGAGGGGCGGCCGGCGGACATACCCGCCCGTCCGCCTGCACAGCCCGCCGCTCGGTGCCGAAATTCAAACTGCGCCCGGCCGCGCCGCGCGTATTTTGAATTCACCATAGGGCTCAGCCACTCCTAGCGGAAAATTCTGGGGAATTCTCCCCCTGGCGACAAATGTGGGGAAATGAGCATAAATGTGTAAGTCCCTAGAAACTAATTCGTCCCAAGAAGTCCCCCACTACATTAGTGATGCAAGTTTGACTGGGGTATATTAGAGATGCAAATTACATGAAAAGATGTTATATTTTATGTTAAGATTGAGAAACCGTGCTTATAGTGGAAGGTATGTTAATGATGCAAACATATTAGCGAACTGGGAGTGGTCACTGGTCACCTGCTAATTTTGCGTCATTCCGCTAACGCTAGTTGAGCCAGTTATTGCTTGAAGCGTCATAACTTCGGTATAACTATACATCATTATTTGTTGGCTATTAACTGAGATCTGATTTCTTTATCTTTTAAAGAAGACTTAATATAAGAGAGATGGTAGCATCGTCTTGGTGTCATATCTGATCAAAGCGGCCATCCTCCAATGTCCCAACTTACCCCGCGGCGGGGGGTCAGTTGGGCCAGGGCCTAAGGCAAGTTGGTACACTAGGAAAAACAGTTTATCTAAACACATTTTTATTCATGTTTCACATGAACAATCATCGCTAATCCATGCGGGCATTAACGACAAAACACAAACGTTTGCAGTACTCCTGCGGCAAACAAAAAGGCACACACAACGACACTAGAAGAGAATATTTTCACAGCAAGAAAATCACTTTTGGTACCTGAAACACATTTGTAGCGATTATTAACAGCACTTACCTCAGCACGCGCCGACACCACGTTGACAAACAGACGGCGTTACTGTGCATGTACAAAATAAGTTTGAACGCCAACTGTCGAGAAGTATTGGAAATATCCCTTCCGTCCCAACTTACCCCCCCCCCCCCCCTGGCACCAACTTACCCCGGTCTCCCCCACTTCACCTCTACCACTCAGCGCCCCAGGGGGCGGTTCTGGTCAACACAGGTGGCCAGGCTGTGGGGCGCCGCCGACCGCCTGGCGGAGGCTGCCACGTAGCCGTGCTCCCCGGTGCGCGCGGAGCGGCACGGCCGTCCAGCGGGCCAGCGAGCGCGACCCCGCACGTTGGTGCTGGTGCGACGGGCAGTGCTGGTCGGCTGGACCGGAATCTGGGTGGCGTTCCGCCGGCAGCCCTGCGCACCTCCAAACTGGTGCAGAGCGGACTGGCGGCCAGCAGTGGGCAGCTGGCCCCACCTCTGCTGGAAGGCAGCGGCAGCCCTCTCCCAGGTGTCGTCCTGGACGACTGCCTCGCACATGAAGGCTGCCCACTCCTGGATGAACGCCACGGTTTGGCGCGTCCGGTCATCTGAGCGTCGCTGCTCAGCTCCACTGACAGCCGCCGCCGCAGCGGCGGGGTCCTCGAAGTCCATTGCGTCGTCGTCGTACTCCTCGGGACTCGGCGACGGCTGGGGCTGCGCGACTCCCGGGGCGCTGGCGGGCGTGGGGCCAGGAGGTGACGAGGTGGACGGCTCGGCGACCAGAGGGTCGAACCAGTTGCCTGGCAGCTGCTGGCTGGTCCCCATGGCGATGTCCATCAAGGCCCTCCGCGTCTCCTTTGTCGCCGTCGCCTCCGGCACAGCGCCAGTCTGCTGCCGCACGGCTCGGAGGTGTTTGCAGCCGCCAGTCCGCCGGTTCATCCTGCAGGTGCAGGCGCCGACGTTCAGGTCCACCAGGTAGGTGATGCCGACCGACGTCAGCGACTTCACCTGATAGGTGAACTCCGTCACCTGTGGGAGGGGCAACACATAAAATCCTGTAAAATTCGTATGTACAGTCTGTCTTAAAAGTACCGCGCAAAGTGACGGTGGATCCATCAAGCCTTACTGAAGAAAGGCCTGCTTTACTTTGAAAGTCACCGAACCAATTGACCTGGGGAATGGACGAGAATATCAATTGTTTTGATGACTCAAATTGAGCAGGCCCTTCCTCGGTCAGGCTTGATGGATCCACCGTTGCTTTTTCGCGGACTTTTAAGACAGACTGTACAACATAAACTGACGGACGGTTACTTGTACGAAAATCCGAACCTGTTCATTCGCCCCAGTACTGTCAGCTTGGCCTTTTAAAACAGACCCCCAAAGGGAAAAAAGAAGAAACAAGAAAAGATTAGCGAACATATTAGCGAACTGGGAGCCGAGCCGGCGCACCCCTTAGGGGTGCGCCGATTGCATTGGTCACTTTGCACAGCCATGTGGCAGTACTAGTGGGACCAGCATTGGAAAACGAGCTGTCTTATGTGACCTTAATCAGTTCTCGTGTCATGCAAAATACCTGCGTCACAGTGCCCGTTTCTTGGCTGGTGCCGCCGCGGACCGGCGCAGTGCCGCCCGCTGCCGGCCGTTGGTCACGTCGCACGCCCTCCTGGCGTAGTGCTTGCTGAGCTGGACCGTGACGGAATCAAACAGCTGCAGCAGGTTGAACGCCCGAGTCCTGGAAAAACAGCGCGTGTCAAGCGAATATTTCAACAATTTCTTTGCAGCTATAATTAACGGTAGACTGCCATCGTATGGACACAATAAGGCTTTCAGAAGAGCAACCAAAAGCACAACTAACAATTTCACAACCTACCCGAAATGCGAAAGTTTGTTTTTCTTCCACATGTAGGGTTAACAGAAATGTAAAACCGTGATATTCACAAGTTAATCCGTGTTAATCCATGAAAGTCACAAGTCGTCTTTGACGAAGGGATGTATGGTCCAATTCCGTTTCGGGGGCTTCAGGCTCTGAACTTTGGCAGACACTGGGGAGAATTGCACAGTCCTAGGGATTTTGATGGTGTTTTCGAGAACATTTTACCGGCTCACTCTCAGCCCTCCGACCTATATTGAAAGGAAAAACTACTCCCCTGCTTTGGCTTTTTTCCAATTATTTGTCTTTATTAATTGGAATTTGTCTGTAACTGCAACTTTGACATTTCTTCAACATTTGCCACTTTTGGGCAACCTTACAACTTGAAATATTTTAAAATAGTAATGAATCTATCGCAATACCTCCGGTCACCGAAACAGTTTTACAATCAACTTTAGTTAAAAGACAGGTTTGTCTATGAACGCCAGGTTAACTGTTTTATTTATTGAACCGCAATTAGGTGAACCATATGAATAAAGACTGACCTGTAGAGGACAGAGTCTTTGAGGACTCTGAAGGCGGACTCCACGATGTTGTTCGTGTTGTGTCCCCGGGTGGGGACATCCGTGCGGAGACACAGCGCCCACTCTTGACGGCGGGCAGCGAAACCCTGCAGGTACTGGTCCAGCAGTGGGTAGCGCTCGCCCCACTCGGTAGCCACCAGCTCCATCGTCGTCGCTATCTCCGCCTCATTGTTGGCGTACACGAGCTGTTTGGCTAGTGCCATGATAGCCTGCCTGTGCTGGAAGAAAATGCACAATTTAACTTGTATCCGAGTGTGGGAGGCGGGAGGGGTGCAGGGTGAAGGGTGAAGGTAAATGTAAATATACGGGGTGTTTGAGATGAAATTAATCAAACTCATTTACGTTCTTTTACAGCTTTTAGACCAGTATCACTGCATGTCTATTCCTGACTGCCAGCCTATGCCTGTCTATGCCTGACTGCCTGCCTATGCCTGCCTCTGCCTAGCTGTCTGCCTGCCTCTCTCTCTCTCTCTCTCTCTCTCTCTCTCTCTCTCTCTCTCTCTCTCTCTCTCTCTCTCTCTCTCTCTCTCTCTCTCTCCCTCCCTCTCTCTATGTCTCTATCTCTTTCTCTGCCTCCCTCTCTCCCTCTCTCTCTCTCTCTCTCTCTCGCTCTCTCTCTGTGTTTCTCAAAAAGGGGTAATTAGACAAAAATGAACGGAAATTCATTCCCAGTAGAAACTACTCACTTGCTTGTCGATGCCATGTTTGCCGTTGTGAAGCCATCGCCAGACGGCCTGCAGGACGTGAAACGTGCACAGCAGGAGCCGCGCCTCAGGCCACACCGCCGACAGCGCGTTCCGCTCGGCCTGACAGTCGTCCGTCATGAAGCACAGAGGGCCGCGCCTTCCACGCCCGCCAAAGGCGCCTGTCAAAGAAGCATTCTCGGTCAAACACGATATTGGATTTTATACACCAATGCACAACTGACTGGACAATTCAGAGTTTAGCCGCCAGATATGGGAATTCATGGCAAATGTAGGTATATCGTACCGTCTGGTAAAATCCCGACGAGCAGCCGGAAGGCTTTGTCCACCACGGCCTCGGTCTCCGAGGTGGAGACGATGACACCGAGAGGCAGACCACCGGCCGGGCTCCAGCACATCAGCAGGAAGACGCGCTGGCCGTGCCGGTCCATCCCTCCTGAGGCGTCGACGAAGACCACCTCTCCCGCGTCGGGGAGCGTGTGGACGCGCTCCATCAGCGGCGTCACCGCCGCGATCACCGTCTCGCCGTCCTCGACTGAGACCGCCGTGCGGACGTCCTTCATGTGGCGGATGAGGTCCATGGTCTCCTCCTGGGTCGAGGCTGGGTAACGCTCCCGACAGTGCTTGTAGTACAGGCTGAAAACACATTGCATTGTCAATTGACTTCCAGCTGCAAGTGGTGGTCAGTTTCATTTTGTGATAAAATACCGATTGCATAACAGTGTACTTATGGTTAAGCTTCAGCTGTCCCACTTGTTCCTGATTCGTCCTAATCAAAATATAGCTTACCCCTCAGCGCATTGAATTACACAAATCCAAGGTGAAAATAATGTTAACCTGCGCTGGGCCGGAAGGGGGGCGTCTAGACGCCATTCCCCTTCAGGTTTTTCACGAATAGCAGGAAAACGGAAATGACCCTGACACATAGGCGTACGTAATATGATTATCGATAGCTTTTACTAAACCAGAATGCATTTATCGCAGCGTAAAATGTTGCGAGTTTTTAGCACAACACAATTCATAGATAACAGTAGAACTGGATGTGACACGAAAACAGGCAGATTGCAATAGGGGACCCAAAAATTGTCAATGGCCAGATCAGTCTCGGATCGAAACCATATATCCCAGACATGCGGCCTTCTTTTCTGAGTAGCCCTATCATCTCTGCTCCGTGTAACGATCAATTGCATCTCATATATGAGAATCATGTGTAACTTTATAGGGAAAGTCTAATTATTTCAGATACTGTCCCTACAGACTTGCTAACTTGTGGCAGTGTGGCTTTGCATCAAGCTGTTAAAAACTTACTAGTAGACGGCCATCCTATCTGGGACAATGGCTCGGTCTGCGGCCACCGACGGGTAGGCGCTCCCATGCTCCTCCTGAAGCTGTAGTTTCAGGGTCTCCAGCGCCGTGGAGGGCGAGTGGTGGTGCTGGAACAGCTCCATCAGCCGGGCCTTCGTCAGCTCAGAGACGCGTCGATGTCTCAGAGCGGCAGCGTTGTCCACGGCGTGGTTGTGGGGCTTCTTGTTACATGTCACCCGTAGCTCGTAAGCCGCGCATGGGTCTGTAGACCTATTCCTGGAAAGGGAGGATTCGTCAACAAATATAAAAAACACGAGACGATGGTGTTATTCAGAAGAAATTCCGCTCCTTCCACGCACTTTTATAAGGTACCAGCAGAGGCGGATCCAGCTCAGAGGTTTGGGGGGGGGGCAAACCATAAAAATTTATCGATTCTTTCCATGCATCGTCCATAGGCGTAATGTTGAAATCATGCCGTTTGGGGGGGGGGGGGGGGGGCAAATGCCCATTTTGCCCCCCCCCCCTGGATCCGCCACTGGGTACCAGCAAGAAACCTTTTGAGGCAAGGAACGAGCGAGGTGAAATGTTTCGGATTATCACCGTTTTTAGTTTTCTGAGCCAAGATTGGCACAACTAAGAAAGATAGCGACTTGAAATCTTTTCGGCAGCGAACTCCTTCATCAAATATGTAGTTTTTTTTTCAATTGCGGTTGATCGTTTGATCAACTAAGGCGTTTGTAAAAAGCAGGGCTGCGGAGTCGGAGTCGGAGTCGGTCGGAGTCAACAGTTTTGGTCGGAGTCGGAGTCGATCTTTTTTCTTGGCCAGAGTCGATAAGATTTTACCGACTCCGGCCATGTAGTCCGAAAATCGCCTTCCATCAAGTGAAATTGTTGTCTGGTGAAAGCAAAATGGCAATTATCCCGATGATCCAAAGTGGTCAGACAACAAAATCGACCTACGATTTTGATCAGCCTTTTCTTTTCTCCCGAAGTTCACGTCTCTGCACTGGTTCGGTGAACCAAAGGGCCAAATAAATGCTTTCCAGAACTAATAGGTCGGAGTCGGAGTCAGAGTCGATTTTGTGAGGCCGGAGTCGGAGTCGGAGTTGGCTAAAGTTGGGTCGACTCCGCAGCCCTGGTAAAAGGTGCCAATGACAAAAGACGGTGAGAAACTTGCCGTTTTGGAATGTTGGCGACAGTCACTTTCAGGCGCAGGGGGCACCCGGTGTCCTTGGCGGATTGGTTTTTCCTCGGACGACTCGGCTTTTCTGGGACGTCGTGGTGACAACGAAGCCTGGCCTGAAAAAAATTGACAACCTTAACAAAAGTGATGAAATCAATTGCCACTCATTAGTCCGTCATTTAAATGAGGATGAAAGTTTCTCGATTTAAAAACGTTACCTTTTTAACTGACCCTGAACATGGTGTTTCATTAACCCGCACCTTCCTGCGATATAAAAGAGTAAAAGTTACTGGGTGCAGTGGCGCACCCAGGGAGGAGTCAGGGGGACAAAGGGGTCAGCTGACCCTCCCGAAATCTAGCGGGCCCGCTGGTAGGTGCCCGTCCAGTCCTCCGAGACACCCGGTATGACGGCTGGATGACTGGTCCTCAGTACCTACGCGGCATCAAGCTGGGGATTCATGCAGCGAGCCCAGGCCGCCGGGCCCTCTGTCAGTAGACCCCGACAGGCTTTCATACGGCGGGTCTTTGCTGAACCCTCAGGAGGCTCTGCACCAGCAGAATTTTCCATTGGCGGGCCCAGGTCGATTGCTCGGGCAAAAGTACCCCCCTGCCGAGCTTTACACGGCGAGCCCAAACTGGTATTTCATAAACTAAAGCTCTCACCCAGTACACCACCCTTTGGCCATTCGACATGGAGTCGTACGTCGTCAGGGTGATGTTGGCGGCCTCTTGGTACAGCTGAATCCACTGCAGGGCCGATTCCTTTGACGCCGGACATCGGTAGGCCACAGTGGTGCCCTCCATCAACTCCTGAAACGAAATAATGCAAGGTCTCACTGGGGTATTCTTGTCTGGGACCAATGCACGATCGTATTACCGTAATAGTCAGCTATAATGCAGATGACAAATACTTAGTGACAAGACGCGTTATATTCAAATACAGATCACCGCACACACCACTCATACCAATAATATTGTCATTCACAATTGATACAACTTTGTTACCGAAGCCTGTGGGGAAAGTTGATAGTTCCATTTTAAAAATGCAAGTTTTCATTTATGAAATGATTGCAACATGGCTCAAACCAATTACATATAATATGTGTTACTGCAAATTGAAATTGCCATCATCAGCAATTGCTATTGCTATAAGCAAATTGCTATATTTGATGCTCACCGGTTCCAGGTCTGGAATCATATCAAGCTTCTCGCACAAGATGTACTTGGCATCAGCCTTCCAGATTACTTGGAAGTGATCCTGTTGGAAGAAGGAATGTTCCATAAAGTTGGTGGCGGACTTGTACCTATTCAATATTTAATATCAATATAGTAACAAGGGTTACACGACTCATAATCTTCACTTACAGCATTTTTTAAAAATTATGTAAAGATTATAATTCTGCTGGTGATACCTATAGCCATGTGGGTAAATGTCAAGTTTAAGTCCTAAGCAGATTTCATGGATAATTTTTTCATATTCTTACATTATTTGGCCGGTACACATGGAGGTCCCCGCTTCAAAATTAGTTGATTTTGAATTTAGTGTTTCTGACCATTATTTGACATCCTGAATCCAAAAATGATACTTATATGTCTCGTAACTAAAAGAAAAACATAATCAAACCTGAACTAACCTTACCTTTTCACCTATAACCTACCAATCTACTACCTACAAACCTACAATGCAACCTAAAACTTACAACCTAACGTAACCTAAAACATAATTTTTTTGCTGTTATAGATTTGTATCAACAGCGTCACAGTTATAGTTAGGACCTAAACTTGACATATACCTGTATTTCTTGCGCCCTAACCCACAACAACAGCAACAACAACTGTATTTCTTGCAAAGAACATGCACCTAAAATGGAAATACTTATTAATCACCAACCTTTTCCAGCATCTTGAAGCATATATAGGCCTCCGCAATAAACGAGCAAACATGAGACACGAAAAAGGCGCTTTGGATTAAAAGGCGCGCCAGTGGCATCGGAAGAGCTGCCAGATCGGCTGAAATCTCTAGCGCGATTTCGCTTTTTTCCAAGGTGCCTAGAATTCCTCTAGGAATGGCTGAGCCCTATGGTGAATTCAAAATACGCCCGCGCCGCGGGCCAGACAGGTGTATGACGTCACAGGACCGGTGATGACGTCACCGGCGGGCAGATGCTCCGGTGAACAACCTACCGGGCGGGCCGGTGCGCCGCGTGGCTGGAGATCGGGCGGGCCGGGCGCGGGGCAGCCGCCCACCGGCAAACACACGGGCAAACAGAGCGGCCGGCCGGGGCAGAACAATGGGAGGGGCCGGGCGCCGCCGCGGCCTCCCATCCGTTCCACCGCCATGCCGCGGACAGGGCAGCCGCTGCAGTGCGACTGGGTGGGAGCAGAGAGGCGCTCGATGGGCGTCGGTGGACGCGACAGCGTCACAGGCGCGACAGAGAAGATCGATCTGTCTGAGAGCCGCAGCCCGACGGCTTCGATGTCATGTCCCATAGCGTCATGAATTTTAACGTAGGGGAGAGTGGGGTAAGATGCCCAGGGTGGGAAAGACGCCCCACCCCCTCTAGCGGCGAAACAAAGAATCGAACCTGGAAATTTATGTTCTTACCGTAAAGCGGAAGCCTGCCTTGTTAACTGCACAAAAATTTGCGAAGCTCAGTTGGGCAACGGCTGGCTGGTGATTGCATGTTTTTTATTTGCTGCTTTCAAAAAATATTTTGGTGTCAAGACATTGTAAATATCAAAGAAGGTAGATAACTTTTGCGTCCCTTGCTATAGTCGTGATACATTAACATGCGTGTACTGTGTCCCAAACAGTTTGCAGGGCTGGTAAAAATGGTTTTGGTGGCTCTGACCAAATTTTCGGCCATGAAAAGTGGCTCCTAACACTCGTAACAGAAGAGGCTTGAAAGTGCGGTGAACAACGTCCTTTTTCAGGAACACCTTAAACATCATCAGTAACTATTTTAGTTTTACTTATAGCTCACTGATGTATCCTGATTTTGGGACACCGGCTGGTGTCAAACACAGCAAAAGAATGTAGGTATATAATTTCTTCTACTTTTGTTTAAGCTGGTTGGTGACAGAAATGTAAGGCACAAATGCATGTAAGGCAATGAATGTTGTTGACAAAAAAAATATAATACTGACTCACCAACAGAGGAAATTTCATCATCTCAATCTCGCCCACTAGCATAGATCTTCCGCAGGCTGGTCATTGTCTGCGTCATCTGAGATACACATGATTGATGATGTCCTAAGCTGAGAACTGAAACACAAAGGCATTATAAGTGAAAGTTTAATATTAGTTTTAGTTACAAAATGCCTGAAATATAGGGTCTGTTCCCGTCGCTCCTCCCAAAAAATCTCGGATGAGGTTGGATGAGCTTGGAGGAGAGCCGTTTCAGAGGAGCCACGGGAACATTTTCGCGAGGAAATCAGCTGTTTGCGGGCTGTAACGGTCGGCGATTTATGGCGCGCAAACATAAATCAGGAGATAATTATCGCTTTCTTATAAAATAACCTTAGATTTATATCAAGCCTTACTATTTAAAGATATCCAATCGTCATCAATCTCTAAAATCATTTCCACTTCCCTCAAATCTCATTTATAAACAATTCACTTTTGTATTACGTGCGCCAAATATGTCTACGCAAGAGCCTCCTCCAAAAAATCAACTTTCGTTTGGGATGAGGGAGGAGGCAAATAGTGGTGGTGAGATGTGAAATCAAGATGAGCTTGGAGGAGCTTGGAGGAGCGACGGGAACGATTTTTTGAAACGAGAGGAGGTTAGAGGAGCTTGGAGGAGGTTAGAGGAGCGACGGGAACAAACCCATAAATCAGGATTCCTTATATAAGCATATTTTGAGTATGACGTACCAAAAAGAAAAACATGCAGTGGAGGAACATATCTTGATATTCAAAATTTAATTTAATTTAGTAACAAATATGCTAAACATACTGGGTTGGTTGGCAAATAAATGAGTATCTTTAGCCACTTGAGTATCCGTATGCATCTTCAAAATAAAAACAAGCGCCATATTTATGTCTAGCTCCACAGCTTGATCAGCTTAAAATATTGAGGTAGGTGGTCTATGATATTGCTATGAGATGTACTATACAGAAGAGGAGCAACTTCAAATCCAACCGAACAACAACCAACATACCATGAAATGTACAGTTTGCCCGCGCCGCAACCCTGCACGAGACTTGACCGATTGATAAAAAATGAAAAGACCACTTGAATATCATTATTTGTGTTCTAAACTAGTCGGTAATACAGTGAACCGCCAATGGTAGAAGGCTCTGTGGCTCCCCGTTCCCTCAACACTAGGTCCTCATCAACTGATAAAAGTTACGGAGCCCTATTCTCCGTAGTGTTAAAGCTGGAAATCGACTGATGGCTCTTCCACTGATGAATGCTGACGCTGTTCGCGGTAAGCATTTACAGCTATTCTGAATAGGCTACCAGCTTTGTACTTTGTAGACAAACATTGCGCATAAGACCTCATTGGGAAATTGAATGCTGTTACTAATTTAATATTCGTGCTCAGGCATCTTGTATTTTGAGGTTTGTCGTAGAAATAAAATGAAAATATGAAACAAAACTTAGCAGTTATCCTGCACATGCATACTTGCGTTGAAACGCTTATTTATGGCTCCCTAAATCGCTTGTACAGCTGTTGTTCTGGCTCCGATATTATCAGCGAATCGGCGCTTTTTACCAGCCCTGACAGTTTGTTTCAGGGTGTAGTTTTATGGCTAACAAATTGTACTGATTTAATGTTACTTCGGTACCTTGGGGTAAGATGCCCCCTGTCCTGATGGGGAAAGACGCCCCCCTAAATTCGTAGGCTGTCCTTCAAGCATCCCGTCAAATCATTTATTACATACTTGTGATTAGAGACAAAAGCCGATCTGGGACTATTGAGAGTCCAGTACGGTCGGGTGCTCCCCATGCCGGTCTCTCGGCCCACACAGCGACTTTTTGGGCGGCATCTGACTCTGAGAGCCCTCACGACGGCCTCTGTGGGCCCCATTATTGGCTCCAGGGCCCCTCACGACATCCTTTGAGGGCTCCCACGTTGGCTCCACGGGCCGCGCTGGCATCTGAGGTCCCCACGATGGGCTCGAGGGCCCTCAAGCATCGTGAAGACCTATAAGGGCCCCACAGTGGTCTCCGAACGCCACCACGGAGGCTTGTTTGGCCGCGCTGGACTATGATGGCACTACGATGACCTCTGAAGCCCTTTACGACTACTTTTGAGGGCCCTTACGATGACGTTTGGTGTCTACTGCAGGCTCGAAGGGACTGCCGATTCGTTCAGGCGATTCACGTGCCCATTTATGTCACTTATAGTGCAGGGGGCATCTTACCCAACGCCAGGGGGCGTCTTTCCCACCCTGTGGGGTAAGATGCCCCCTTTCACTTCTTCAGGAAAATGCTTAATAGCAAAACAAGTTATCATATTTCAGGCACGAAAGTGTGATATTTTTGGAGAAAAATGATGTCGGCTTTCGTTGAAACTCCAAGTTTTTGCTTTCCGATCGTCATTTTCGAATAAAATATGACATAGTAAAACCCTGGGCATCTTTCCCCACTCTCCCCTACTCTTCTTAACCCTCGCCGGCCGAGGGGGGGGGGGGGCGGGTGCCGCCCCCCCATAGGGTTTTTTTCGCGATAGCTCCGAACACGCTGGCGATAGAGAGCTGAAACTTGGCATACCTGACCTTTGATCCAAGCCGGATCTTTTGACACCAACGGCATTTTTGGGTCAGGTCAGGTCACTGACCTATGACGTCATAAGTGAACCTCTGCACGGTCTTCAGATGTCGCAACTTCGCAACGCCCTCACTGCCAGAGGAGATGTCACAGGGAAATGAAACTTGCAGGATCTAGTATCCATTATGAGTCCCACAATTTGTATATCTCGGATTTTTCCTAAAGGTCATATGAGGTCAGGTCATTTTCGTGACCTCACCATTATAAGTCAATGGGGAAAAATTCAAACTGCTATTCTGGCGCCGGGAACGATCTCCAACTATCTCAAGCACACAGAATCGTGATTTGATGCACTCCTTGCAAGGTTAGATGCGTCACTTTTGCAATGTTGACCTTGCGTGACGTCATTTATGACGTCATCAAGGTCATATTAGTTTTTCGTCAATAACTCTTGATCAAATCTTGATCTTGATTGAGCTAGCGAGTCGGGAAAGCCACCAATGGACTCAGGAAGACCTGCCGAATCGAATGATATGCGACATGACCTCTTTCGACCAACTTCGTGACCTGGGGGTGCTGACCTGACCTTGACCTGAGGTCAACACCCCAAGTTGACCTGACCCGGACAAAAAGTATATCATTCGACGCGCCGGAGCGAGACGAACACGATGCTGCCAAAATCGGCGCTCTGCGGCCGTTTTTTGCGAAGTTATTCACCAAAAACTGAACCGTACCTTGGGGCACTTGACCTGACCTCAGAGGTCACCGGTTGACCTAGGACCTTAAAATCGGGTACCAATCCCTGCGTCTCGTAACGGCGCACACGCTCGTTTTTTCCACGACGCGCTAGCTCCACCAGGGGCGAAACGGCGAGGGGGGGGTCGTACCCGCCCCCCCCCCCTCGGCCGGCGCGTATGTAGAAAACCAATAGGTCCGGCGAGGGTTAACGCCGAGTTGGTTGCGTTCCATGTGATAAAGAGTCAAGAGACAAATGAAACTTGTGAACAGAATTATCGTTTAATATGTTATGCATTTTATCATGTTCTTGGATGACATTCACTTGGTTGATCAGTGTTACGCTAGGTTCAAATATTATCGGAATCTAATTAGACTCGCCACCTCCTGATCGGTTCATCGCTCTAGCGACAATGGAACTGAGGTTTCCCTAATCGGCAAATTCCTTTCGGGAAATTAAATACCCATCTGCCGATGGCACGCCGGTGAAGTGTCGCCCGGCGCGGTCTGTCGCTCCCACGGCGCGGTGCCATGGGTGGAAGACGCGTGGGACCGCCGGTCTCTGCCGGTCCGGCCGCTGGGACCGCCGGTCTCCGCTGGTCCGGGCCCGGTGGAACCAGGTGCGCAGGACGCCGGTGCGCCTCGCTCGTGGGAAGCGGACACCGCCGACTTCCGGTCGAGACGCGTTTGTTCTGGACCGACGCCGACCGCCGCTGACCGGCCAGCTCACTTCCGGCGGCGCTTGTCAGTTGGTCACTCACGAGCCGCTGCAAGTTGATGGCCTTATGGCAAGTTCAGGTATATGGTGAATGAGGTCGAAAGGCATTTATCAAAGTTTACTTTGTAGGTCCTACGGAATGGCTCTCGAGCGGAATAGGACGGTGCTGTGGAGTAAGGTAAAAACACCCGAAGGGCGGAGATGCTTGAACCAAATGTCGTTCCCATTTGGCGCCTTATATTTTCGGTTTGGTAAGGCGAAGAAGCTAGACTTTCGATTAATGTTTCACGTCTATGTATATCATGCTTCGGTTTTGTTTTGCCGTCATTTTCTGGGTTATGTTTATGCTTCATCGATTTAAATTATTTCATTGGTCATCGATGCTACCGCCAATAAGTGTCGTCCCTTCGCCAAGCGTCACCAACTGCCCGTCGCCATCCGGGCGTCCCGAATGGCGCGTCAAATTTCCGGACCGGCGCGCCACAATTGACGCCGTGGCGCCGCGAACGTCGCTCCAACACCGGACTGCTTTCGATCGAGTCGACCACTCTGTCTGCTGCCCTAATCGCACCAAACTGCCTGGGAACAAACGCTATTACGGGCGCCAGGCTCCCAGCGCGCCGGACGGGCCAGCTGGGGCACCGGGCGTTGTCAGCGCGGCGCCCCGCCGACGCCCAATGGACGCCCCATAGATGGACGGTCCGCAGACGCTCAGAGACTTGGCGTCGACGTCCTGCCGGCACCCCCATGGACGCGCCCTAGGTGATGTCCCGCTGTGTCTGTCAGCACTGGTGTCGTCACCAGTACTGGGGCCCCAGTGCAGCGTGTAGCCAGAGTCGATGCCCTGAGGCCATCGCTGGTCGCTGCCGGGTCTGCGCGAGACATCGAGTGCCTACGGGGGCCACTGAGGGTCTCTCCGCTCACTGCGTCGGCGTTTGGCGCTGACATGCGAGCCGCTTCGCACGGCTCAGTACAGCCGCGAGCAGGGCGTCCCCCAGCGCCGCGACGCGCCGGCCTCCGACCGGAGCGACTCGATCAATACGAGCCGGGCGCTGCGGGGCTCGGTGAACTCGGCACCGCTCGCGGTGTGGGCGTTGCTGGAAGCCGCCTCCTGGACCGGCGAGGCCTGTGATGGCTGGCGGGAATTTCCTAAACGCTGTCCTCAGCAGCAGCGTGGAAGTCACTGAGCGTGGAAGCGACGAGCTGCGAATGAACAGACGAACGACGGGCTCCCGCTGATGTCAGGAATGTTGTCGTCGGCTCGTTGCTGCTGACGGCTGCAGCAACGAGGGGGTGGCTTGGGTAAGGGATGGGGTTTATGGCGTTGTTTTGTCGTAGGGCGGTGGGTCGTGCCTCTATGAGCATTGATTGACCACTCCCTCGGCCCGTGAGTCGTCCCGCGTGCCGTGGTTGGTTGGCTGACTGACTCTGACGGGAGGCGACTCCCCAGGGGATCGGTGATGACTCCTATGCCTGTGACTCAGCATTTTAGTCTGGCTTTGTGATAGTCGCCTAGTGCCAAGCGTCGACGTCCTGCCGGCACCCCCATGGACGCGCCCTAGGTGATGTCCCGCTGTGTCTACTAGTCATCCGTCGACACACCTGTTGCAAAGCTAGTTCGGCTTTTGTGAGCCTACCAGTGTTGAAGAAGTTGGATGCCAGTTGTTGAACTTCTGCGTTCGCCTTGTGTCACGTTAGCTGCGCCATGGTGATCCGTGGGTTCTCAAAGTTTCGGACGCTGCTTCCCCGGCTGTCACCCAAGTGTCAAGAACTTTCGAATGACGTGAGCTGCGCATCGTCACCCCGTCCCACAAACGCTTCAGACTTTCAGACCCTAGCAGCAAACAACATTTGGCGACAGCTCAGGATGCTGGTTACGAATCGTTGTGAAGCCATCGTCACTCGCATGGCTGATATTGCTGTTAATGTCCAAAAATGTGCAACTAAAATCAATATTTGTAACGTTTTGCCTCAAGCATTCAGAATAAATGCGTTTTGCAACACGAAATAACTACCGCTCTCGTCTCTCCGCTATCGAGTGACATGCTCAGTAATATTTCCTGACTAAAGTGAATGATTCATTTGAGGTGTGCCAGCCTTAATCGGCTGAGACATCACCTCCACCGCTCATCTGACCATACCGTGCTGTGCTTGTTCCAGGGGTGATCGGCCAGGATGACATCTTCAGCGTAGTACCGAAGGCGTCGAACATCGTGCCGGCTGGCGAGCAGGTGGTACTGGAGTGTGTCACCAGAGAACCTGGAACGTGCGCATGGAAACTGGACGTGCCCGAGCTGGAGGGCACCGGATTCCTCACTCAGACAGCGGTAGGTGGACACTACTCTATAAGAATACGTAACCGAGCGGTGGGCTGCTTTATTCAACAGGAGTTATGTGTGGTCGCTTCTTTGTTTAGCTACGGCTGTGTTTATAGACCATGCGTCTGTGTTTGTTTTGTCATAGAGGCAGGAGTATCTTGATGTAATGTTTTCTCATGTTCCTAAGAACATATCAGCGATCAGTCCTTTGGAAACGCCTTCAAAGGTGATGCTTCACACAACACGATGCAACATCAACATCTGAATCCGCACGACTCTTCCCCTTAGCTAACAATAACATCTCTATTCCGTGTATTTCAGGCTAATTTCCTGACCGCCAGCGGTCTGCGAGCGCGCGACGCGACCAGTCAAACCGACTGCACCATTATTATCGAGAGCGTAGAGAGGCGTCACAGTGGCCACTACACGTGCTCCCCGTTCATGAATGGAGGCCAGAAGGACGCCCCGTCGGCTGAGGTCATCGTGGCAGGTGAGCAAGGAGAGATGGAATGGTGAGAGGAGAGATGGGGCGGTGAGATGAGTGATGCGGCGAGTGAGAGAAGAGATGCAAGGGCAAGAGAGGAGATGACATGGGGTGTTTTGAAGTGCATGGCAACTGTCCTCACTGAAGGTCGTACACGCAGGAACTGTGGATGACCGATTCCGTCCGTTTTAAGTTCATTTCCATTGCTGTTTATCGTTCCTACAGCACCTTTGTCTGAAAAGACCAAGTGCATATTATTCAAAAGTAGACGTCTTCTGCATGACGTAACTGACAACCAAGCTGTTGTACCGCCCTGTTGTCGTATCGCTGCCCTCTCAGCAGCCCTCTGACCACTCCTCGTCCGCCGCTCCACAGTGAAACCGGCCTCTGTCGCGTTCATCGGCGAACAGGCCGAGACCACCGAGCTGACTGTCAGCTCCGTGGACACCGTCTCCGTCTCGTGCGAGGCCCGCGACTCGCGCCCCAGCGCCGAGCTGCACTGGTTCCTCGAGGGCAGTGAGCTGACTGACGGCGTGGTCTCCGAGGAGACCGAGGACCCAGAGACCCGCCTGGTGACCACCCGCTCCACCCTGACGCACCTGTTCGAGAGGCAGGATGAGGGCGCCACGCTCATCTGCCGGGCCAGCCACCCGGCCTACGAGGAGGAGGACAACAGGGAGGCCTCCCTCGGTGTGGTTGTCGAGTGTGAGTTGGCAGAGGAGTGATTGGGACGGTGGAAGATTGTTATCTGCGAGCTATCACTGGCTTATATGATTGAGATTAAGTGCGCCCATCCGATGTGCATGCACATCTGATAGCCTCGTATGTTGCTACATTCATTTTTCTTTGTTGCAAAATAACTTGCAAATGTACGGCAACATAACGCGTCAAGCTTGTCATAGCGAAATATTTGGCCTTCATTTCGAATGTACCGTTCCATGCCCCCACTGACGTCATCTCGCCTCCTCTCCTCCCCCTCAGTCGCGCCCGTTCGTGCCGAGGGCTCCGACCTGGGCACTCTGTACGGCTTCACCGACGGCGAGGACAAGGACCTGACCATCAACTTCACCGCGAACCCGAGGCCCTCGACGATCCAGTGGTCGGTCGGGAACGACGCCTACCTCACCGCCGGAGAGCAGACGTTCGACGGACGCATCATCGCCGGCCCCCTGGAGGAGGTGCGTGCAAGTGGCTGGACGAGGGTAGGGTTAGGGACAAGGAGAGAACGAAGGACTTACTGAAATACTTTAAAGTTCGGGGCTAAGGTTACTTGCTGAGTAAGGCGTACGGTCAAACGGATGCTGGGTTACGTTTCGACTGCGTGATTTTATTTGTCGTTTTAGTGGAATAAATCAAATGTGACATTGATGTGCGTCACTTTCGAGTTTCGAGTTATCTTTGCAGTGCACAGAAAGCTGGGTTATGTGATGATGGACCTGGCAGAGTGCTCCATACCTATATGCCTCTCGTGAGCGGCCATACGCTGACTATGACCTGACCTACTTTCTGCACTCCCAGGTGGACCCCGCGATGCACGAATACTCTCTGCGCCTGACCTTCAGCCCCGTGGCGGCCGAGGACCACAACACCACCTTCACGCTCCGTCTGGAGAACAACCTCGGCGAGCAGGAGCTGCGGGTTCGCGTCGCGGCCGACGCACCGCCTCCGCCGGCCATCAACGAGCCGCAGCCGGCCTCGGAAGGTAACGAGGAGTCCGCGGCCGCCGTGGAGGGAGACGCCGACTCTGAGGACTCCGTGGACAATGGCAAGGATGAGTGTCGGGACGAGAGGGCGCCGTGCGACTGCTCAGATATGCTGCCTGCCTGGCTGCTTGACTGCCTGGCGTGGGAAAGGGAACGGCACTTTTGATGCCACTGCTGAGAGCTGAGCTAAGCTGAGGATAGGGGCTGACTCAGCATGCGAACGAGACGGGAAAGAGATGCTAGGAAGGGGCGGCTCTGGGCTGCACGCAGCCGTGCATGGCCCACGAGCCTATGCGGCCGGTCGTTGTGTCCGGGGTGTGCCGTGTGCACGGAGCCAAGGGAGGTCCCCGCTGGCGTCACAAGGACAGACAGTCTCTGATCACGCTGCTTACGGCAGCTTGATCTGCTCGATTAGTAGGCTGCGTGATTCCCAGACGCTTATGTCGACCCGTCTCAAGGTAGGTATGCTTCTCTGGCACCTGGCTTGACTGGATCGCGCAACTGCAATCGGTTGGTATGGCTTTTTGACTAGACCAGTGCTTCGCGAGAGGAGATGTATAGCGCACCGTCAAAGCTTTGTGGCAGGCTACGTGCGGCAACGGTTCACTTCTGACGTGTCTTTGGACGTGTGGATTACGGAGCACGGAAAACAAACTGCATTCACAACTGCATGATAACTTGTAAAGTTAATTTGATATTACTGGAAACATTGAGGCAACATGGGTATGTAATTGTAGTTGGAAGGTTTTGCGTTTATTGGACAAATCGGTCGATATGATGCTCGTTGCCAGCTAATATGTAAGCCTGACAAAGGCCCAGGTTTGACGCCTTGACGCCCATTTCTCGTCTAGCAGCACGGCTGACTCACTGTTCCCTGTTTCAGCTGGCGTGAGTGGCGGTGCTATCGGTGGAATTATCGTCGCCGTGATCGTGCTTCTGGCTGTGATCGCGCTCGTGGCCTTCGCCCGCAGCCGCGGAAAGTGGTGCTTCGCAGGTGAGTGGTCCTAGTAGCGACATCTGTGGGCTGTGGCCTGTGGCGCAGCCGCAGTTAGGAACGTGGCCGTCAGTGGTCCCTGGTATAGGCGTAATGTAAGAATAGAGATAACACATTACAACTTCAACTTTGTTGATATCTTATGCAATCGCTCAGTAAAATAGCAAACACCTGAGGCACATTATGTAGCTCAGTAATCGTTAGGTGCCGAGGTGAGATTGGGAGGGTAATACTAATGACACGGGAAAATGATATGCCAAGACACCTTCTCTCAAATGTCTAGTATCGTAGTTAAGTTGATGTTTATTTCGTTAAGACAAATGTTGTGAATTGTCGACTGGAACCTGCTTCGATAAACAATGTCGTTATCTATTTAGCTCTTTGATATCGCAATAATCTTACAAAAGCCAATGACAGTCTTCTTAAAAAATTAGGAAGTAACTTGAGCAACCGGCAACCGCAGACTTCATATAGATATTCTTATATTTTGGTTGTTATGACTGTCATAGTACACATGAACGTCTTCAGATATGTAATAAGAATTAGCACTGGTCTCGCAAGCGGGATGTAAAGGAGCACCCAGAAGCCCATCCCTCGGCATCTATGCTTAAAGCCGCGAGAGTGTGTGATTGCTATAGAATCGCAGCGCCGACAGTGAGCCTAGCCACAGATTGTGCAGCCAAATAGCGAGTAACAGTGCGTCGACCGGAAGGAGTCGGCGTGCCACACGGCAAGTGGCATGAAGCGCCCTGAGCTTTGTGTGGTGTGTTCGCTTATCCGCTGTTGCTGCTTCTCTGTGCAGAGGCACCACAGGGGTACTTACGTAGCTTTGTCGTGCCTCTGCACCGCATACCTACCTACTGCTTAGCCATCGCTGAAATTGATGAACGAAATTTGGATGGGTAATTTCGCAAGCCTGTTGCCTCGTTTTGCTACCAACGATGTCCTCTTGCTGGTGGGATATGAAACTGTGTGCCCTTGCACGGGAAACCGTCCCAACGCCTCTGACATAACGTTTCGTTTCACGCTGTCTTCATAGACTAAAAGTAAGCCAATTCGAATCACTGGTACGGTTATATGATACTTTCACGCAGGCGGCGGATGATGTGTGTAAATGTAACAGTGCTTAGTGTAGGTACTGCACCTCACATCTGTGGTATTTTTTTTTTTGTCACTATTTGTGCATGGATGCAGCATGCTAGTGCGCGATAAGACTTTCGAAGGAACTTGCGATGCATCATGGGTGCAGAAGTAGGACACTCCGATAATCAATAACTCGATCAATTTTAACACTGGAGTAGTTGGATAAGTGCCCAATGGATGCCACCCTAAAGAAACATTATAAACCAATTGCTTAGTGCATGCTTGTTTTTGAACATGTTATTGTCGGCAAGTGTGTCACTAACACAACGTTGCGTCTAATCCTTCCTTTTCATGCATTATATGAACATTCTTTTTAATTGTTTCAACCTTGTATTGTGTATGTTTCGTTATCAGCTATCATCATTTCTTTTTTTACATTCCATAGAATTCCACGTCTTTTTCAAACAACTGATCCGCTTTCTGTTCCATTTTTGTTGATTTCCCATCTACCTCCTGTTGCGTTCATGTCTTATTTCCTGTACTTTTCTTCATCCCATAAAAGCTGATTGGTGGCGTATTTGCATGGATGTTTGTCTGAGTGTATTTGCCATCACTAAACTAGATGGCGTGAGACATGCAAGTCGTCTCTCTCTCTCTCTCTCTCTCTCTCTCTCTCTCTCTCTCTCTCTCTCTCTCTCTCTCTCTCTCTCTCTCTCTCTCTCTCTCTCTCTCTCTTCTCTCTTCTTTCTTCATGGCCTTCATTACCACATGCTTTTCTTGTCCATTCCAGCCCTCCTGTTTTCCTCGGCTTTTCGCCCTTTCAGGCCCTACGCCGAATCCTCTCTTTCTCATACTTCCCCTTTTCCATACACTCATCCTTCTCCACATACCTCATGTATTCCACGTCTTCTTCCATTACTCTTTCTCTTCCTCTCTTATTTTCGCCTGTTCTCTCTCTGTAGGTCAGACACAGCGCGGTAAGCGGTGCGGTTGCGGCTCCCTCCCTCTGTATTTCTTTCCCTCTCCCCTAGTTCTCCTCTGATTCTCTCCCCATCTCTATTTCAATAGCAATAACGAGTTTCAACTTGTTCAAGCTAACAACCTCAATTTAGCTTACTAACAACTCGAAGTTCTGTTTTGAACTTCCGTATCTGTCCTTTTCTCTAAGACATTCCCTGCCCGGACCGTCCCTGTCTCTGCGGCGGGCGGCCCGTCTCTGTCCCGGTGACGGGGAGGGGGTCGCTCGCCGCGCCTGCAGCCGCCTCCGCTCACCGCGCTGTGTCTGTCCGGCAGCCGAGAGCGGTGGGGACACGCGCAAGGAGTGGCGCGCCCACATGGACCCCGAGGCGGCCGACAAGGAGGGCCACGACAACCCCGTGCACGAGCAGAAGCCCGACCCGGACACCGCAGCCGAGCACAACGGCACCAACGGCACCAACGGCGCCAACGGCACCGCCGCCAACGGCAAGAGCCCGGCCAAGGTGCCCACCGATACTCCCGTCTGAGTGCGCCACGTAGGCGACTTCGCCACGCCGGGCTGGGTCTCCCCTGAGGCTGCCCAGGGTCGGCCGAAACTGTCCCGAAGTCTGGCGTCTCGCTTGTGACGTAGGCCGGCTCTCTCGGGAGCTGTTCGGGCGTCGAACGTTAGCCTTTCATCGATCGGAGACGGCAGAGCGGGAAAGTCCCGCCCTGCAAGACGGGCGGGTTCGCTCCGGATGCCCGGCGGAGTCCGTTTGTCGTCGTTCCACTGCTCTGGACGCCTGTGATATTCTGCTTCACGAACGCACAAACTTTGTGGACCCGAGAGCCGCACGGGCTGGCCCGTGGCTCATGTGCACGTGCGGACAGGTGGACACGTAACAGGTGGAAAGTGGTGTGGACAACGACGGAGACACGCTTTACGAAGTGTTCAGTGGTCTGGAACTCTGAGCCGGTCGTCTCCCGGCATCGTCCGGATTTTAGCTTTGAACTCTAGCTGCGTTTGTGAAGCGTGTGAGTGAGTATTGTGAGCGAGTTGTCACATCAAGGTGCAGATTGGCGAGCGGATGTTTGCGCGGATGTTTGCGTGTTTGTGTGTCTGTGAGGCTAAGATGATGTAGTGTTTGTTTTCGCGTAAGGGAGTGTCTCTCAGCTGTAACCTCGCGACTTCAACTGTACGATCCGCTATCAGACGGACTTTTAAATGTATTTTAGCCGACGTTTTATGGTATGCTATGTCGTCTGACCGTGGCATGAGAATGTTCCCGCCGGTCAAACTGATCCCATTATCACTGCTGCCCTCTCCCCGCGCCACAGTCGCCACCAGTGCGACACAGTAGCCGCCGGTGCGCCACAGTCGCCGCGTACATTTCTCGGCCACTGGTCAGGCACGTCGTGTGTCAGCTGACGTGTCGCCACGTTCCGTGTCAGCTGACGTCATGCGGCCTTTCGGCGCACGGGGGCGGGCGTGGGCGGTGGAGCTGTGAACAGGTCACAGGTCCGGCTCAGGGGGGAGGGCAGCAGGGGGCAGGGTGGCACTGACAGCGGTCCGGCGGCCAGTGCCGTCGAGGCCTCCGTGCTATTGGCAGAGGGCTTCAAATGGCAGGGAATCGAGGAACAAATAAACATTTGTGACTGTGAATGCCAGGTGCTTTGCGCTTCTGGGGTTACAATGGGTTTATGCCTGTGATTTTCTCTTTACTTACGAGTACCTAATTGTAAAACGTTATAAATTATTTAATAAAACATAGCATTATAATCGAGCATTATAAAAAATATCTTTCGCCAGCCTTAAACACACCAACGAACACCTCCCTTGATTCGTAAAAAAAAACTGTTTCTCCCAATGGAAACTACCGTATAGAAAACGGACACTTTATTTTTACAACGAGACTTTCGCGTTTCGCTCAACTCGGAAGCTGATTTCTGTAATATTTATCAAAATCAGTCTGCAAGAATTCATACACACATCACCTCTTGCGATATCACCAGCTCATGAAAATAAGGATATCCATTCTCCACTACGAAATGAGTTCCTCCAAATCGAGTGCCTTTACGCTACCACGTTTTAGACGCCATGATCTTATTCAATAACTTTAGGACCAACCAGCAAATATCTGACGAATGCCTCCTTTTTCAGCCAAGTCGTCGGATGCGGGAGCTGAAGCGTGAGTAAAAATTTCTCGGTAACATGTGAAAGTTTAAACACAGTATGGCATTCGGCTTCTCAATGTGGGCTGCCATGATGGAACAGTCAGTCAGCTAGTGAGGCTGTGCTCGGGACGCGCATCGTCCAAAGACGTTTGACGTGGTGGTTGGACGATGGGGGGATATAACCGATGTGATGACTGGCACTATTCTGCGAAACATTTAAACCTGGCTCACTGGTTTTAATGTGGTATGAAGCTTATACGTCTAATGGTAAAACGGTTTGCCAGTGACTGTACCAAAGATGGTTTTGCGTTCAAACCGAAAAACGTCAAAATGTGTGACGTGATTTCAGTGGAGACGAAGGCCACTGAAATGTTGTTGAGTTTGAGGCATTTGGTCCGACAACTCATGACTTGTGTTATGTTCGTCGTCTTCTTTGTTTGTAATTTACTAACGACATTCATGTGTGGGTATTCTCACTTTAATTTCATCAATGTTCATATAAAGAGATAACAGTTGTTAAAAAGAATTGAACACTCAAAAATGTTTCATCCTGATGGACTCGGTATAGAACGCATGCGCTCCGAACGCGGCGCTTGCATCGCCCTTTTTATTTTTCCTTTTATTATGCCGTGCTTTCTGCTCAAAATGTTATGGTTTAATACAATGCTTTTGACTCCACATGCTTGAGTACCTCGTTTGATTTTTTTCGAGTTTGCTTTGCTACAATGCTTTTCACAAGCCGTGCGACGTGTAGGACGTAATGAAGGTGCCCCTGTTATGCTTATTTCTGCTTATCGTTGCTCGATTATAATTTACCATGCAATCTATCTTATATATGTTACAGGTAAGCCTCCCCTCCCCAGCACGTCTGCACCCCCCCCCCCCCCCCACCAGTGTCCCGCGGCTGCTGGTCGCAGCACGTCCCGCGCACGCACCCGCTTACACCGGTGATGGCTGGCACTTGTTCGCAGTAGTGATACCGAGTCTGCTCACGATGAAAAGACCGATAAGCCCGAGGGGAAGGGTTTCAAACTGTCCAATCTTTACTCCAGCCTGGTGACTAAGAAGAAGGAAGGCGACGTCGAGTCGGCTGCCAACAAGGTGGGTGCTCCGGCAGAAGGGCTGCGACACTGGGGCTCGATCCATGAAAAGACTATAGATAAACGTCTAAGCAATAGACCAATTGAATAGATTTGTGTTTCTGGAAAAGAGCTTCGCAAGCAAATATACCGAGATATGTTTCATAATAAAACTCTACGAGTAAACACAAAGGTGTATTTAGAGAGCGAAGTGGTTATAAAAAAAAAATGCGGAAAATGCAATCAAATTGTATCCACTGTGTAGCGTGAGCTGCGACGCGTCTCCAAACGTGTTATTCATTGTGGTGACATACCGTAACGTATACGCTGGTGTTCCATCAGGAAGAGACCAAGGAGCTGACAGCCCCGGACGGCGAGGGCTCGCCCAAGCGCGAGAAGGGCGAGGTCGTCTACGCCGAGCTCGTGCTGAACAAGGACGGCGTCAAGACGGAGGTGCGCCCGAGCCCCGAGAAAACCGAGTACGCCACCATCGTGGGCACGAAAACGCCCGAGGCAAAGGAGTGAGGAGAGACGACTAGATCTTGCGATATGGAAGGCAGGGGAACGGCGAGGTTGTGGTTTTGGATCTGAGAGGCGAGGGGGAGCACTGATATTTGAAGTCACTTCGTGGGGGTACAGGGAGTGGACCGATTGTGCAGAAGTCGCGCTAGCTTGCGGAGGGTTTTGAGGGGTGCCGGGTGGGGTAAGTGGTGAAGTAATTTCAGGGCGAGTGGGTCGAAGTTTCTGAGTGAGCGTGCTTCGTCTCCGATTTTAGCCACCAGGAGGCGTATAAGCTGGGACTGAAAGTCGCACGCAGGTGTGTCCTGACGCTGTGCTTAGCGGGGTTCTACAGCACCAAGGGGATGCCAGTGGGGCTGCGCAGAGACACACCATTGATGTTGTTGCTTCAGGCGCGGGGTAGCAGCTTTCAAGACCTGACGTGTCCGCTTTCGGTGTGAGAGTTTGCGAGATGTCTTACTGTGCCTTCTCTCTCGGATGCTTATTTTGTTTCATCTTGAAATGTTTTTCAGTACAAATGTAGTTTTTGCACTGTTTGTGACTCTTTCTGAACTATTCCTTTAGCTATTTGCCTAGACTTTTCCTTTAGATTGTGGTCTCATTGGTTGGCCGAGATATTTGGATTGCGATATGAGATGCGATAAGGTTTACGGAGTATTCGCTTTGCTAACTATGTGAATGAACTTGAGTTAGCGTTGTAAAGCGATGACATGACATTTCAACTACATGTACTTTTGTAACCAGTTCCAGTCGTGCACTCGCTACAAGCAGATCCAAACTGATGCGCGAATGAACGGTAGCTTTTTTGAACAGTGTCGTCAATTTTTACACGTTCATATCGGCGCGGTGAGCCGTGCTACTACGCGTCCGATGTGTTCCATTTGTGACATTGTGTTGGCTTTGTATTGATTTTGTCGCGGTGAGGCCTGAGCTGCTCCGCGCGGTTCCTTCGCCGCGGCGAACGCTGGCTGGCAGTGGGCTGTGACGCCACCGGCGCAGGGCAGGGCCACTCCGAGCCCTGGTGTACACCACACACTGGCACGCGGGTTGTGTTTGTTCTGTAGACGGTGATTTTGTGTTCGTAGTCTGCACCGCACGCCGCGGACCCTCCCTAAGCTCTGGCCTCCCGTCAGGGCTGGGTTATGTGCACAGGGGTAGGAGCATGGAGCTACGGTCCGCAGGGCACCGCTGCAGTGCAGCGCGCGGTTATATAATTTGACACTTTCAGGCCGGCTGGGCTGCGCTGTCAGGGCGACGACTGCTGCTTTGTAAGTTTTGTAACTCTTAATACATTTCTGATGATTGTGCGCCGCTTGTGTTGGACAGAGAAGATATTTCAGATGGAAAGATTGAACAGAGGTTAGTAGGAACGATAGGAACGGTACTGCATTGACGGTATGAAGTTTAGCCAGGAACTTAAAGGGACTATCCCACCTTCTAAAATGTTGTTAAAACCAGTTAAATTGTGCCCGGCTTTATAGATTGGATGACCAGGAACACGGTTCTGGCATTTATTTTTCATTAACCCTATTAGTGGCAGGCTCCTGGTATACCCCTATTAGTGGCAGGGGGGGGGCTGTTTACGACCCCCCTTGATATCTCGAGATCTAACGGGCCGATTTTCAAAATTCAAACGGCATTCGATTTTGCTCAACGTGATCTACATTTCTAAAAAATAAAAATTAAAAAATGTCAATAGGGGGGGTAGAGGGGGGTAAAAACGGGCAAATTGCAGATACATTTTAGACTGTTTATCACGGCCAGGTTTCTGAACCAATCTTAACGCAACTTTTGCCGATCGATAGAGAATGAACCAGGAATTCACATGGATCCTAAAAATATGCATTTTCAAAAATCATAGGCGGATACAGATAATTGAGATTGGGGGTACACAAAAAGTAAAGTAAATAAGGTTTTTGTTGGTACTGTTTCTAAAAAGGGTGGTAATGGTCTTGTTATGTTACAATTTTCTTATGAGAGAACGACTACAATTGTATTGGTCATGCATAGGCGGTGTCAGGGCACCTATGTTGGGAGGTAAAACATAACCCCCCTTTTTGGACGCCTGGATCCGCCTATTATAGCAAAAACGTGTCAAAAGAGGATGCACAATAACTGTATATGTTATCACATGATACCTTTCATTCACTGTTCGTAAAACTGGTGCAGCATCGTGATCTTCGCCCAAATGACTCGCTTCACGAATAGGACCCCCAATTCCCAGTGCTCTGGAGCCGCCCCTGGTAAAGTTATGAACTTGAAATTTTCAGGGAATGTGCCCAATTTAGTTTTAGGAAAAGTCAGAAAATTTCAGCATCGTAGCTTCAGCGGTTTCGGAGATATTCCCCAAAAACCTGAGGGGTGGATAAAAACAACCCCCCCCCCCCTGCCACTAATAGGGTTAAACGGCTTAGGCTTCCCATATTCCAAACACAAACTTTCAAATATGTGACGTCACAGCCCAAAATTACCTCCTTCCCCAGGCCACATTACTGTCATAAAGCTGATTCTTTTTACTCTGTAGGCACCACAACAAAGTTCAGACCAAGTTTTAAGCGATTTTTCAACGAACAAACCCATTTCAATCAGAATGACTAAACGAGGTGACGTCACACTAACGGTCGCTCCATGTTGAAGATAGGGCCTTGTACAAGGCCCATTTTCAAATGAAGGGAACGAATTTCTTCAACACCAAGAGGCCGCGGGGGTTGCAACCTAGATAGATAGTGGTTTCTGAACCTCGCCGCAAACTTGGCTATCTCAACTCAAATCCCATGTTAAAGGTGGGATAGTCCCTTTAAAGAATTTGCCTACAATTCGAATGAAGTTTTTCAGTAGAACGACAAACTACTTGGTGCCATCGACGTTAGGGAAAGACATCTCTAATGGCGCAAAAAAAGACTGCAGCATAAGTTGTTACGTTTTATGCGTAGGTACATTATGAAACTGCGGCGTACATTTAATCTCAGTCGCCACCCTGTACATAGAGCTCTGGGCTCCAATGTTGCGATGAGCACGTGTTGAATCGAAAACACTGCACACAGTAAATGACATTTGGGAGCCCGCACCGGTGAACGTTATGTAAGCGGCAAACGCTTCCATCGTTTTAGGGTCAGATCAATACCAGCGACATCAAAGATCGCAATTGATCATTTTGGTATATACAGTCACTTCCATTGTAGGTAGGTAAAATAATACCTACGCAAGATGTAAATACCTTGCAATATCTACGAGGTGTGTGTTACGGAAACAGTATGCACTACCGCAGTTGTGTGACGCCTTCAGATTGGGGTGAGAAGTAGTCCTCAATAGTTTAGCACTAGTATCAAGTTGCGTTTGCAGTTTGCACCCGGGCTTTTGATGATGCGATCTCCTCACCAAAGCGAAAACTGTGGACGACACCACTCGCCCTTCTATGCCGGCACACATGGGCGTACATTACGCATAACCTTGACTGTCAGCATGATTAGCGCACAGTACATATGTATGTACAGCTCGCCTCCCGGACACGCCGCCGGGAGGGTGACCCACGTGGAACGATACCTATCGAGCGGCCCGTGGCTCTGCTAGTCAGCCGTTAGCCGTCAAATGTGGTAACGCAAGCGTGACCTGCCGTCTGCCGTCCAGCGAGCTACGGATTAGCCCGACGTGTCGGACGGAAGACACAAGTCCGACCGACATAATCGGTTGACGTTGCTCCGGTTGTTTGAACGACAGTCGTGCAGAGCTGATCGCCCGCCGGGACTGACCCTTTCGCCCACGGGAGTGTGTGAGCTGACAGGACGGCGCGGCTGCTCGACACAGTGGCGTTGCAGTGCGACGTTGACCCGGCGAGATCGACTGACCTTTGGCTGCCGTCCGGCTGTCGGAGTCGGCAGCCACGTGGGTGCGCCCGAGGCCTGCCGCGAGAGTGCGGACCCCGGGGGCCGTCACTAGCGGCCATGACTCGGAGGGGAGCGCTGCTGCTGCTGGTCGTCCTGACTGTCGGCGTCGGCGCGCCGCCGTCCGGCATTGTGCCGCCCGATGGCAACTACCAGTGCTGCCAGGACGCATCCGCGCAGTTCCTGAGCACTCCCAAGGATGTTGTCAAACTGGATCAGTGCAAGAAGTTCTGCGAGACCAATGAGTATGGCAGCCCCGTGTTCCTCAAGGGCGCGTGGCTATGCGCACCGACGGCTGGCTACAAGTGCTCTGGTGTGGCGAAATCTTTCTGCGAGAGCTCCTTCGCTAGCATTGCCGGCTACTTCCGGCTCTACCCCCAATCGTTCTTCATAACGCGAAAGGAGGAATCACTACGTAAGTCGTCTGGATCGGACACTGTCGCCACCGACACGGTAACCAAGGACACGACGATCCGCGACAGGGCGCTGATCGGTGGCTCCGTCCGAGACATCCGCAAGGAGGAGGGAATCAGAAAGGTGGACATCGGCGTGACTAGGGAAGGCCTCCTGGGAACCACCAGACTGACCGGCCAGACTAGGGAGTTTGGCGGAGGCCAGAGCACTATTATTGGCGACCGCCTACAGATCAACGTCGGGCGAACGGGATCAGCCAACTTAACGCAAACCATCGGCATAACGGGTAGAAACACCAGCTCCGTCATCGGCACGAATCTCAGAGTTGATACGGCTTCCGACGGCTCCCAGGAGCTGAGAGGGCCCAACGGAGACCGTAGTGTGCTGACCAGAGTCGCGGACGGCACTACTCTCACCGACGGCCGCGACGTCAACAACCGCAGGATCGTCAGCAACATCAACAGGACGAGCGTCTCTGTGCGTGGTGACGCCCAGGGCCCTTCGGGCAGCCTGCTCGGGGACAAGGCCGGGGACATCAGCGGCATCGGCGACATCACACGCAATGTTGACACTACTGTCACTCGCGGCAGAGGCGTCATCAATAATTCGGGAAGCGGCAGACGGGATATCGAGCGACAAGGTCGGGAGACCACGGCTCGTCTTGACCAGACCAGAGGAGGTGCGCAGCTGCGGACGGAGACGGTGGATGTGGGTGGTACCACGTCTCAGTCCTCCAGGTCTGGCGGCCAGGCAGTGATCAACACCGACGCAGTCACCGTCTCCAAAGAAGGCGTCGGCTCCATCACGCAAGAGAAGAACAACACCATCGGTAACCAGGGCAACACGACACAGACGACCGACACTGAGGAGAAGCTCGTCAAGCGTACCCAGAACACCGAGTGCAAGAACTGCGCCAGCTCCGGTACCGAGGTCACGCTCAGCAGGGACCTCAAGGGTCAGCTGGTCGTCGCCAACAGCGAGTTTGACGACACCACGGTGAAAACGTCCACTGCCGCCGGCGGCAAGAGGCTCGACCTGGTGGGCCGCACCCGGACGGAGCTGAACGGCACCATGCTGAACGAGGAGGCAATGGGAGGCTCCACCACCGAGCGCACCTCCAAGGTGGAGGCGGGCTGCGACAAGAAGGTGGGCGGCTGCAATCTGGTGACCCAAAGCTCGGGCACAACGTCTGTTCAGTCGCGCAACACCACTGAAGACAAGGACAACGTCGAGACGAAGACGAGTGTCGTATCGGTGACGAGCTTTGGCTAATTTTGTCGTGTGGAGATGTTGTAGCCAGACGTTGGCTTATGAAAAGGTGAAGAGGCCTTGAAACAGCCACAGTTGCTGTTATTGCTGTCGCTGGTGATGATATGTGAAAAGTTTGAATTGCCGTCTTTGTCCTCGTGCCGATTCCCGACTTGATGGACTGATTTTGCACGAGCTAATCCACAAATCAGTAATGCCTGTCATGAAAGTAAAATTTTTATGAAGTTTGATACAGGGCTAAAAACCATTTTTTAAGTTCGGTAACCATTTTGAAAACCGTTCCATTGCCTTTGACTTTTGGCTGCTCACGTTATGCTAGTATTCACACTACAGTGCGAAATTATCCACGTCTCTCGTCTATGACGCAATAAATGGGTATTAGTTATCATCTTTTAGCATGACGGACTCAAAAAAAAAATCGTAGGTATGCAGCGCTATGCTGTCATTGCGTGACATGAACAATAACATATTACCTTATTGACCGGTTACGTCCTAATGAACACCAAGACTCATAACAGGAGCAGTGAAACGGGGGGGGGGTGGATATCGCCCAACCCTCCTATTTTTCGCAAATAACTCACGCCGTAACCATTATATTAACGTCAAATTTTTAGTACTTGCCTAGAATTGAATTGCGCACCATGCTGTGCAAGCAATAAGTAAATTGGTCCACAACTTTTCTAGTTGCAGGTAACTTAGCCACGAACGCATTTTATTATCCTGTAAGCGTTGTTGAATCAACTGGCAGATCTTGTCACCTTACAAAGATAACAGAGATTTGTTTATTTTACACATGAATAACGAGTATGACGAATTACATCCACACACTCACAATGAATGTTCGATCTCCTGCACTGATGCCATTAACCACACCATCTGACTGACTAAGAAATGATCAGCACACAAAGTTCATTACTCTCGATGGTTATGTATCTCGCACAAAAATGTGCTGCACATTTTGATGTCGCTATGGGTTTATCCCACACATTTGGTAACGCAGCTTCTGTAACATGATAATCGGTGTGATGCGGCGCCGACAAATTCACCACCTTAGGGTCCATGGTTCCCCCGCGCCACCTGTGCGCGCCGAGCTGATTATGTACATTTCTGATTCCATGTGCACAGAACATCCTACATTCTATCACACATCGCTTTCCGTTTGTCAGCGTTTAGTGTCATACGCATTATAATCATCACTTATCACCGTTCACCTGAACGATAAAAGTGAACGAAGGAAGCAGCGTCATGAAACGTTTACACTCTTCAATTTACCCGCTGAGTAAATTGAAATTCAATTCACGGCCGGCTGAGTGTCTATAGCCGAGTTTGATATCCATCGAACTTTGGCTACTTATGCCTCGTGTGTCCGCCATGGTTCAGAATCTCATCAGCATTCCAACAACGACAAACAGCAGTACCATTTACATTTTTCCATCAGAGCCTATCCGCCACACATTTTGTCTCGCTTCGGTGCACTGGATGCACCTTTTTTCCGCCGGGAATCCATCATAAATTCACGCCACTGCCCTAGCTACATTAGTCTTCACCATTCCACCATCCTGAAGCATCGTCCCACCAGAGACCTATTCCATCACACCACACTCTCTTGGTCAGTGTCAGGGCGCACAGTACGTGTTAGGGAGCTGTACGCGTCCGACCCGCCCCGGCCGCGGCGTAGCGTGGCGTAGAGCACGGCGCCGTCGTGCTGCCGGTCGTACTCGTCGCCGTACCGCTGGGGCCGTTCCCGGGGGTAGGGCTCGCCGCCACGGCAGCGGGGGAGGGTCAACTCAGAAAATGCTGATGTCGAGTGCAGCTGGAAAATGGGAACCGTTTAGAGTAAAGAGGGTCCATGGGGTTCGCCAGTATACTAATTGTTCTACATTTTCGCAGCATGTCGTTTTCTTGTTAGACATCATAACATTATATAACATGCATCAAATCCCTGCAAAAAAAAGTTATGTAAGTACAGCCCACCGCTAAAGTAATGTAGGGTTTTACCAATCTCAACGGTTGGCTTTGACTGGCGATTGTTTAAAGGGACCCTCCCACCTTCAAAAAAGTTTATGAATTGGCATGAAAGTGATGTCGCTCGGTTCAGAAAGAGCGAGAACGAATATTTACCAAATTTCACGGAAAAATATTCACCGGTTTTCAAGATATTAGACTTTTACTTTTGTTTACTTTTTGGGATCTCCGCTGTTCCTAGCGACTTTATTTGGAAGCAATAGTTTGGCAGCTGAAAAAAACGGCACTTGTTGCGCGCAAAGCAGCATATACCACCGCGTGCTACAAAACGGTTTAGTCAAACATTTAAAAATCTTTAGATATCTGCGCTGACGTCACACATTCAGAGGGGTATTCCTATGCATTAGCCCCTCTGAATCAAAACGCTGCAATTTTGAAATTCAATATTTCCGATTTAAGGCATTTCTCGATGTTGTGAGTGCCGAAACCGGTAATTGTGAGCCAGGGACCCCATTTTGGCTATCTCAACTCAAATATAATGTTAAGGTGGGAGGGTCCCTTTAATGCGGAGTGATCGAAAAGAAGATGTCAATAGCTTAAGTTGCAGCTGCAAGGGTGACGATACATATAAGCTACATTCAAAGTTTCATTGTAGTCTGGTTAATCGTTCCTAAGCTTCAGAAGCAGAACATACCCATGACTGAAACCCCACATTACTTCTGCTGTGGACTGTACCTATAGCTAAAAGGCTAACATTTTACATATTTATTAAATGTTCCATTGAATGACAAATTCAGGAAAATTTCGTAACACGGTTCTTTTTACCTTCTCACAGCCGTTTTCAACTGAATAGCCCGACGTGCGGAAAGGAGGCAGGGAAGAATTCATTTCGGTATCTTCGGCACGATAACGCGTCATTCCTGTCATCTCAGAAACTCCGTATTCTGTGGAGAGAGTACCAGAACTAATTTCAAAATCTGCATCGCAAATGTGCTTGGGAGGTGGCGGAATACAGAGAAGGGCGTAACGGGGACGTTTTTAACAAGCCAAACTTGTAAGTGTCTTAGGCCTCTTTGTTGTAACAGTGTTACCAGGTCATTTTTGTCCCAGATCAGTCAGCCAGGAGTCTATGGTTTGGTTTGGCATCAGCATTGCCAACCAAACGCTGCGTGGGATGGCTGATCAATGACAGTCGGTGCAAACATTACATGCTCTCATACCTCCCCAGCCTCGCATCGCCCACAGGATATGACAAAACCCAGTTCCAGCGGCACAATCCGACATATTGAATGCACGAGTGTGAAAGTTCAGGGCTCACAGTGACCTCCGAACGTTCAGAGTGTCAAATTGAAATGTCAGACACAGAGTTGGGTGGCTCGGACCGCGTCAGGCGTGCCCAGGTTATGCATTATTCGAGGGAAGCTGACCATCACAGGTGCGAGTCAGGAGTCAATAACAAAGTAGAAAACGAGGTTCAGAAGCTCTGCGATGAGCATGATTCGAAGTATCTGCGAGATCTGCAGCCTACGGCGTGGGTGTACGAAAATTAGTTGATATGCGGCAGGAAGCGTGTGTTCACTTACCATGCTCAGTGGGCACAACATCGGGGTTTCTGTCATCTGTCTCGCACTGATAGGTGTCCAGCGGTCGGTAGGAGGCCGGGGCAGAGCCCGCCGCACCCCCCGGTGCCGGGCCCGGCCCTGGCCCCGGCCCGACCTTGACCGGCAGCGCAGAGGTCACCAGGTCAGCCGGGGTCTCCGACTTGCCCGCGGCGTGGCTGCCGGCATGTCACAAACGGGACCTGTTAGGGTCAGACTCTGAGCATGGCGAAGCGCATGCGATCAACAAATAATAAATAAATCAAATGGTCATGCATGTAATACGTCACAGAAACAGGCGTTCGATGTTATAAGCGCGATAAAAAGTACCCAATAATGCTTGTAAAACAAATTGAATACGACTATTTTACATAGATTCAGCCTAGCAGCAATGGTCGTAAAGAAAATATTCCGTAAAAGTGGACCACGGTAAACTATATAAAATACAGAGAAGCATATGAAGCAAATTGCAGTCACTTGGAACGGAGTTCAATGCCTGATTTCAACATCGATTTTTCCTTGACCAGATACGCTAAACACATCTCTTGTTTTTATTTTTTACCTAATACATTCATCAGCTGCTATAGCGATCAGTCACCACCCCTCTCTTCTGTGACCCTGTCACCAGCATGGACCTGCGGTAGCTGAACCCCCACCCCTCTCCTGCACCATTCCTACCTGCTCCGTAGACAGGCCACTACTCCAACCGCGATCAGCAGGAGGGAGAGCACGCCTCCGATCAGCACTCCGATCACAGGGGTCATGGACACCTCCTGTAGCTGGGTGGAGCCTGAAGGAACACCGAGGCAATAGGTCAGCCCTGGACAGGGGCGATTGGGGGAGGGGTTCCATACATTGATTCACAGAAACACATGTCCTTCAATTTTCCGCAATTTTTCACCATTGTCTCCGCTTTTCACTCATTAACCCCTGTGGTAGTGTTCTTTTTCTCCCTGAGTCTCTCTCTCCCTTCCTCTCCCTCTCCATCTCCCTATCCCTCTACCTCTCCCTCCCCCCTCTCCCTCTCCCTCTCCTTCTCCTTCTCTCTCTCTCTCTCTCTCTCTCTCTCTCTCTCTCTCTCTCTCTCTCTCTCTCTCTCTCTCTCTCTCTCTCTCTCTCTCTCTCTCTCTCTCTCTCTCTCTCTCTCTCTCTCTCTCTCTCTCTCTCTCTCTCTCCCTCTCCCTCCATCTCTCTCTCTCCCTCTCCCTCTCCCCCTTTCCCCACCCACCAGCGTCGTTGCTGACGCGTTTCTCTGCCGCCTGCAGCGTCAGACCGTCGATGGTAACAGGTTCGCTGCGCCCTCTGTCGTTCTCTGCATAAAGCTCTAGTCGCAGTCGCAGGCCGGCAGGCAGGTGGCGCACCGAGAAATCAGGCTCAGCCTGGGTCAGGTTGCGCAGCAGTCGGCGACCGGCCGCTTCGCGAAGCTCCGCCACGAAGCGCTGCGCCATCCCGCCGTCGAAGCCGGCCTTGCACCGGACTGATAGTGACTCGGAGCTCTGGTTGAGCACGAGGCAGTCGTGTAGGGGCTCCGGACGGCCTGAGGGTAAACAAACGGTCCGGTCCGGTGAAGGTGCTACGGTGTGTTGTGTGGTTGTGCTTGTGCCAACCATTTGTTTGCATCATTGAAAGACGAGAAACGAAGAACTTGAAAGAAGAGGTCACTTTATAAGATAATGCTGCGTTTATGCTATGCTTTTGATCACAAACAAAGACGCCTCTAAACCTTCTTGAATATTGAAAGACGCCTTATTGAGCCGATAAGAATAAATTAGCCGTACCGTTTGAACCATTAGAACCAGCCCCATGAAATGCTAGTCAATCGCATGTTAGTCCATTTGTTGAAGGATACCTCAGATGCAGAGCAATAACAAAGAAACCATTTCTGACGAGACAAGTGTTTCAACTCACCGGCGGCGACCACGTTGAACACACAGGGCCGCACCATTCGGCCGATGCTGTTGGTAGCCATGCAGATCATCTGTCCATAATCCTGGTCCGCTCGAGGCAAAAACGATATAGTGCTCGTCAAACCATCAGAGGTCACCTGAAACAGATGAGCGCAGGTTTGAAGTAGGGTTGAAATACCATCAGAACATTGAGAGAATAGGTCCGTTATGCGGGACATCATGAACTTTTGCAACTCACAAGTGGATATCATTAGTTGCTGTCGTACTATAATTACTACATATTTCGTCATGGACTTATTTTCCCACCAAAGTACGTGCCTGCTACGTTACACAGCACTCGATCTGCGCCCAAGACATCCTTCAGGATTGCCCCTTCAGGATTGAAACGCGTATTGAAATTCGACTACCGGTCAATTGATGGCAAATGCATCCGTCGTCCATAACTGCAATAGGTCGATAAATTTACATTTACCCCAGTCTCCCAGTTCGGAGAACTGACGTACCGCTGAGTTGGTGAGGTCCAGCGTCTCCAGCGACGTGTTGAAGCGCCAGGCGAAGGTGACCTGGGGCGGGTCAGCGTCCACCTGACACGTGACCGGGGTCGACTGGCTGCGGGTCACCCCGTAGCGCCGCGGCTGACCCGGCCGACACACGGGCGCGTCTGCAGAGAGGGCAGAGGTCACACACATAGTCAGAGGTCACACGGGGGTACCGACTTTGTAGGGCAGGGCTCATAGGTCAGATGCAAAACAGATGGTGTGAGTTGGCAGTCTGGCAGCATTTTTGTGTAATTTTTAGTTCCTTCTTGATTTGTACTCGGACAGTTGAAAGTTCGCTATTGTCATTGCAAGTGTAGTTGGCATTATGGCGTGTGTGCTTGTGCAGTTTTACTGCTTACATTCCTTTTAGAGTGGATGTGCGCCTTGCTGCACGCTTAGGGGGCACATCTCTCCATTACCAAGTCAACGACGGCTCAGCAGTCAGCAGATGGGTATGCTGTGCCGCAACACACGGCTGTGTTGCGGTGCAGTCTATACAGCAGACGACGAACTGGATACATGGACATTGGACAGGAGTGCGGGCGGATGGCAGCTGCATGATACGCATTGAAATGATCCGATTTGTTATAGCTCTTGACACAGTTTTTTTTCGCGCAGGCATCGGTGATAGACAGCTTCCAGTTCCAGCTATGGTTTTGCAACGGAATATACAGTCTACGACAGTCGTAGACTATATATTCCGCGTTTTGATAGGAAAGACGCAACAACTCGAAGGTTGTAAGGATTGAGTAAAAATGACTTTTCAAGGTGATGCCACTTCTGTCAGGTACAATGTTTTAGAGAGATAATAAATGGCGCCTTGCCAATGCGTTTAGGACATTGATTCGCGACAGTGTCGACCAGGATGAATTGCAATATTTGTTTTCAGAATGTATCATTTATCTTCATGGGACCTTCGGAAAAAAAAATAATTCATCGTTTTTCAACCCTTGAAATACTTTATTTTTTCACACCCTAGCGCAGCCCACTGTCCAATCCAGCGCCCCGGGCCGATCTAAAACTCCAACATCTTTCCGGCACTAGTTCCCACCGGCGCCGGCGCTTATTTACCCATCTATCAGCACCACGGGGAGCCAAATTTAATTTCCACCTTTCGGCACGGAGCGATGTGTTATTAAGTGCGGGCCTCCTCAAAAACGGCCCCAACTGCCGACAAGATAGACTGCCTGCTCGGGGCGTGGGAGCACCGCCAGTGGGGCGGCCTGCGCACCGGACCTGAGCCGGGTCTCTGACAGCAAATCTCGTGTAAGCCCGGCTTCACCGGGGATCAAACAGCTGTTGTTTTAGCCGTGGACGGACTTTGGACGCTAATGTCACAGCAAAGATGGACCGCTGCCGGAAGATGGCCCCGACGCCACGGATAGATGGTCTGAGCACACAATGGTTGAAAAACTTTGACACCTCTTCTGATATATACCAGGGCATATTTTAACACACTGACTGCGTCCCATTTTGGGACGCAGCCCCCTGCCTTTGGGACGTAGCCCTCGCGAAATTTGAACCACTGCGTCCCACACTGAAATGCCACGGTTTTATACCCCTAGGGTATGTGCCCTGCCCAGTGTCCTGTCCGTAGGTCTTGTACCTTGACCTGCCCTGCTCTGCATTCAGGCTCTGTGCCCCGCCTTGCCCTGCCCTCAAACCCGATACCTTATATGATACCCGATACCCGATACCAGCCTTGCCTTTGGACCCTGCATCCTACCCAGTCCTCAAGCGCCTAATGTGTCTTATCTTAGCCTCATGGCCAATGCCTGCCCTGTCCGTAGGGCTCAGACTCTGTGCCCTGCCCATCCCTGAGGTTCTGTTTAGAGATGTTAAGGTCGAGACCGCAGGCCCGGCGCCGGGCCCAAAATCGGGCCCGGCAGGGCTTTTCCATGACCTGAACGCGATGCTGCCGGGCTCATGCCGGGCTTGCAGAATGAACAGCGTAATGCTGAAAGGATGTACCGCCGGGCTTGATGCCGGGCTCAAGTATACTTGCACTCAGCACTCATAATTATATGAGTGCTGGGCTTGATGCTGGGCCTAACCAAACTTGATGCGGTGCCGGTCCGGTACTAGTCCCGGATTTCGGGGAAATTTTGACACCTCTAGTCCTGTTAATTGCCCTGCCCTCAGATCCAGAAGGTACTTATATTGATAAAGAATAAAAATATAAGACTTTAGCTAAAACTGGAGAAGAGTAAGACTATCCCTGAACCTGGGCGGAACCGACAGAGGCGAGGCTGTATACTGTACATTATCTCACTTGCATTATATACTATTTCGCTTACGATGTGCCCTTTCCGATCGAAGCATGTGCCCTACGCCATCTTTGGGACGCAGTAAAAAATCCTTAAAATATGCCCTGATATATACGAAGTTATATTTACAAGCATTGAATGGAACATCTGCGTATAAATTCATAAATACTTTAGTCAATTCAGCATTCTAACACACTAAAGGTCTTCTACAAACCAACAACGAAGAAACCATAGAATAACCATAGCACTATAGAAATAAGCTGTACCATGGTTCTATTTCTAGAGCCATGGTATAGCACAGAATGAGCTCAAATTTTTTCCCTTCCTCTCGTCCCTCCTCTCTCTCTCTCTCTCTCTCTCTCTCTCTCTCTCTCTCTCTCTCTCTCTCTCTCTCTCTCTCTCTCTCTCTCTCTCTCTCTCTCTCTCTCTCTCTCTCTCTCTCTCTCTCTCTCTCTCTCTCTCTCTCTCTCTCTCTCTCTCGTCCCTCCTTACACCTGACGCTGAGATGGACCGGCCGGCTGACGCCCTCGCCCTCCGGGTTGGAAGCGCTGCAGCTGTAGGGCCCAGAGGCGCGCCGGCTGAGGTTGCGGATCACCAGGCTCCGGTCGCTGATGGTGACCATGTCGCTGACCCCCAGCTGGGAACTCGGCGACACCGGCATACCCTGCACGGAAAAAAACACACACACACACACACAGACGTGAGGTAAAACGAGCAATAAACCACGTTCATGACAACATGAGAGAGTGTTTCGAAAGACGAAAAAAAAGAAGAACAGGCAAAAGATGACGAAGTACTTAGAGCAGCTCGCAATAAAGAATGCAGCAGGGAGTAGGGACAGGGACTTGAGAAAATGCACGGTTTGCTTACGCTTATGAATTATCAAGAATCAATCAAATGGCGTGCCATGCGTGTCAATTTATGGCACATAATTGGCGTCAAGTGTTTGACATATTTCCGCACAGCCCAGAATATCTGTCCAACGACAGCCGCTGTAAAATTGAAAAAAAAAAATGCCTCACGCCGTTCTTTCAGCGCATGGAATGCCTATCGACGCCAAACTTCCGTCTCTCTTTTCGGTTAATTTCGTAATCGCATCTCAGCCTCTGACAATGACCACCGCTCCCCTGCCACCGAGCGGCATGCATTCTCTCCTGAGTGGCTGTCATGTCTGCGGTCCCTTTGTGGGCGCGCCTCTGACCGGAGTCCAGCGGTGGATGAACGGTCTATCGAGCGGCCGGCGTCTCGACCGGTGGCCTGGGCACGTGGGCCGGCCTCCAGCGGCGACGATCCGGCCATAGCAGACACCAGGGCAGGTGGCGGCTACCGCGACGGGCTAGTATAGTTGCATTACATATGTATATCAAGACCGAAACTGAGCAAACATTCGTGCGGCTTGTCAGTTAGGAGAATGAACTATTAGATGCAAGTGATTACAACTGTTCAGTTTGTATTCCGTTTGTATTCCTCTTGGCACGTATCTATTTCATTGTAGGTACCTATGCAAAACCTAGCACACATTTATCAGCTGTCCACTAAAGAAGAACTTAACAAAGCACTTGGAATTCCGACAATAGGCAAACAACTTCTAAGGGACTCCGATGCATAGCCCGCCGGCAATAAACCTCAGTCAGGACCGGCCAGCCCCCGGCGCGGCGGCAGCGGGCACGAGCGACGAGCACATGACAAATGGAGGGTCCGGAGAGCAATCAGTGGCTTACAATTCTTCTTTGTCAGACCGGAGCCCCAGTGGGCCACATTCAAACACCGGCCGGTGGCTGCAGCAGTGATTCATTGCGGCAAACTGCGCTCTCCGACTGCAGATTGACCTCAGGTGACAAGGTGAACTGACCGCAGGCGACAGTGGACTGACTGCAGGTGACACTGGACTGACTGCAGGCGACACTGGGCTAGCTGCGGGTGGCGTTAGGTGACCTCAGGTGTGGACTGACTTCAACTGACTGCGGACTGACCTCAGATGATGGTAGATTGACCGTAGGTGACACTGGACTGGCTTTAGGTGACGGTACCGAGTGACGGTACTAACCTCCGAGTGACAGTGGACTGACCTCAGGTGACAGTGGACTGACCGCAGGTGACTGTAGTCTGACCGTGGACTGGCTGCAAGCTAACCTTATATGGTGTGAGTTGACTGGAGAACACGGTGTTTGCCAAAGTTAGAGAAGAACGGTGCTCGCATTCGGCTATGATTTTGCGATGAACGAACCAGTTTCGGACTTTACAAAGACTGTTTTTCGGCTGCTGACCATGATAAGGAAAAAAAACTACAAGAATCTTGAGATACAACGAACACACATATTTACTAGGCGAGGCAAATCTGTAGTCCAGCCAAAGACAAATTCTGAGTGGCCAACAGATACCGAGCTCAGATCGACCGTAGAGAATCGCCACCACGCCAAGTCGGTCGTGTGATTAGCACGGCTTCGCGCCCGCTAACTCCGATTGTCACCGTCCCACCGCCGCGCTCCAAATGAGCGCCCTGTCACCCCGGCTGATGCATTTGTGGCGCAGCAGTGACAAATGACCACACTCGCATCCGAAGATCATAAAGCGACGCAGCCGGCAGCTGGGGAGAGAAAGCGGCTTCGGTTGAACTGTAGTGGATAGCGACTCGCGCTATATGCAGGCTGTCGATACAGCTACGTAGCTTGGAGGCGGAGGACGCATTATGCTTTGAAGCAGCTTGTCATATTTAGGCTCCGAGCTGTTAAAATTTCGCTGATAAGATGACAGAGCTTGTATCGGAAACGTGTTGTCAATGTTTGAAACAATCAACAGCAATCCGCAATGCATGGCTGAAACAGTTTCCTACCTTATGATTCCATTTGACGCTGTAAATTTTGGGATTTGCTTGTATTTCACAATCAAAGTAAGCATCAGCTCCTTCTTGTATTTTATTCGGGTCCAAGGCGTTTCCTAGGCGAAGGTTGACTTGTGGAGCATCTGCGAAAAAAGGAGCATGCGTCACTCTTTGCTACCCAAGGGAGATGCCTGACGTATTTGATAAAAGCAGTGTGCATTAGCAGGTCCATCATGCAAGTCCATTATTTTCAAACGCTGCAGAAACATGCTGCTTGTGGATGTTCCACATAAATTAGACAATGTCCTTGATATTGCCGGCACGCCGGCATTGCTCAATAAATATTTCATTGTATCAACAAACAATACATTTTCAAAGCTCAGAAACTCTATCGATCCTGCCCACTACTGCAGGAGCGGCGCCATCTCACATCGGACGTTGAGAGTCCTCCTGTCCTCGATGATGCCGTTGGAGACGAGGTCGTTCTCGGCTCGACAGACGAGCGGCAGGCCGTGCTGAGAGGCGCTGGGTCGGAACGATACGGAGCTGCTGCTGACGTTACCGCGACTCACCGCCTGGCCGGGAAGAGAACAACGGAGGTGACACGCTCGAAAGAGAGGTGAACGGTGAGCGTGATCAGCTGGAATGGGACTGGCAAGGGGAGTAGGTGCCCTTTGAAAGAACGTATGCAGCGAGTGTGGCTTTAGCAAAATGGACGACAAACGGATGCGGATTGCACAATCTGTAGGACGCAGAAGGACGAAGATGGCTCTCTCTAGTTGAAGGAGTTATTAATAGGCATAAACGATATACAAAGGCAGATTGGGGAGAATGACATTCTATGAAAATACAGCTAATAGTATACGCATGGATAACGCTTCATTACACCCTTGATTACAAGACATATCTATGGTGGTGTTCTTAAAGGGAGATAATGAGCTTTCTTTTTTCAAATAAAAATTACTCGACATCTATACTATTTCTACTGTAGTATCTATAAAATATGAAAATTTCCTAGCACATTTTCGTATGTGAAAAAGGTTTTTATTTTTGCAAAAAAGAAGCAGTACTTGCAGTACTTGTAACACCCACCGAAATGCGTTGTCCTTCTCTATAAAAAAGTCGCAGTATATGGCGCTTTTGTTTCAAACAGCGACGCTTGGGTTTTTGTTTGTTATCGCCTTGTCGTTGCTTGGTTGTAAGGATTCTAATTTGAATTAGAGTTAATTCGGTTTTAGAATTAATTAGATTCTAATTCGGGGGTACATAGTGCCTACTCTTCTTTGTTTCCAAGTATTATTTTGCGCCACAAATGAACGGCAAGCGCCAGAAACGCAGCCAAATCTTGCGATTGCGACTACGAAATTCATTATTTTGGCCTCAGAGCCTGAAGCGAAAAATACAAGCATATTTATTTCAAAAAGACTTCAGGTTTGTCGAACGGTGTTATGAGAATTTTGATAACAGTACTGCATAAGTTTTTCAGTGATGCCGCAAAAGTGTTGTATCTATCTTCTTTTATTGTGCAGTCGGCGGGACCGATTCAAATTGAGTCGTTGCTACTAAAATAGCAGCATATGGCGACAGATGATGAACAGGAAAAATAGTTGCGTAAATTTAGACATAAACCACCCCCAAACCATGAATATCTTTTGAAGGCACTATAGACGACCATTAACTAACTAGATGTGATGAAGATCAAATGTAATGAATACGCTCATTTTACAAAATTACATGCAAGTACCAAAAAGTGATGTAAGTACTTATTCAACGGTCATTTTCAGCGGTCCCCGCTAACGTGACTTCAAGTTGAGATATTTGCGGCAAGGTACCGAATTGAGCAAAATGGTTTTAATTTACATTATAACTTGTTGTGTTTTGTCAGAAAATGGTCCTAACTCAGATTTTGTGGAAAAAGGTCATAATCTCCCTTTAATGTGTTGAGAGCCAGATCACAAATATTGAGCTGGCAAAAAGCGTTTAGACTTCCGGTTCTACCTTCTTGTAGAAAGCGGAGGACGGCGTTGTTTGTAAGGCTTAGACCGCTGCAGCGGTCTGTAGTGAGAACGAAATCCCATACCGCTTTACGAGAAAAAAAATAACAATAGATCAAGGAAAACGTTCACAACACCACTGCGAGGTTTTAGCGATGTGTGAGGATATCACATTGGAATTACAGTAGTCAGATTACCTTATCGCTTCCAACCAGCCGGCACGGCGTTGCAACGCAAAAATTATCAGGCATTCTCAATCTCCAAATCACCCGACTCACAAGGGGCGAGACGTAAGCCATTGAATTATTGTCATATATCAGGCTAGGCTGAGCGATAACGGTAAGTGATGGTGCCTATCGCCCTGAATGCACGCCAACTGCAGATGGAACAGCCGGTTTCGTTTATTTTGCCGCCTTCCAGATGACAAATGAAAGTGGCTAAACGATGCGACATTTTTCCTTCCCCCGCCACTGTCGCCGAGAGGGCCGGCCGCTCTGTTTCGTATTCTCAGGTGAGACGAGCCAAGCCATCGCTATGCAGGGCAGAGAGCTGACAAAATGTGCTTCTTCCAACCATGTATGGAGGTGAAAACAGCATCAGGGTGCACACAAAAGGGTCACGTATGCTTGAGACTGTCAGCATTTTAGCTGTGTAATTACATTGGTTGAGAAGCAACTGCCTGAAAAGCTGCAGCTGTTCGAAACTAGAATGGTCTTGAAGCTTTCCTGCATATTCATAACAATTCGCCACTGCACTAGTTTTGAAGCTGGATAAACCTAAAACTCTTACCATAAAAAGCGCAGTTATAGTTTAAGAGAAAAATCTGTTGAGTTAAGATGAATAGTAGACGATGGACAGTCGGGTCTCCGACCGCGTCAGGTCAGGTCACGAGTCAGGTCACTAACCGCGTGTTTGTGTCCGGTGAGGCGTCTACTCCCGATCCACCAGGTGATATTGGCAGGCGGTCGGGAGCCGTAAGTACGACACAGGAGGTCGTACGACTGCTCAGATGACATGGAGTTCAGCGAGGAGCCCAGCATCTCCACACTCAGCGGTCGAACTGGAACGAGGAACAGCTCTCGTCACCGCAGTCATCTTCATAAGAGGAGGTTAACACTGAATTCCCCGTTGCCTAACCTTACCAAATTACGGACAAGATAACACACTGCATCAATGTATTGTTAACGAATGACATATCGGTTGGATGTAAGTCGATAAAAAAGAGATCGCAACAATAACCCTCGCCCCGTTGGGGGGGGCCATTTTGGCCCCCCCCCTGTGGTTTTCCTGAATAGCAAGAAAACGGCGGCGCGCAGCGCCGCCAAATTTTCAGTACCTTCCCGGGCATCAATTTGACACCTTCACACCAAATTTCAAGTCTTAGGCCACCTTAGGTCAGGAGTTATTGAGGTCAAACTGAGGTCATGTTCGAGCAAAAATGAGCAAAAAACATGCAATCTTGAAACGCTCACCAAATCTACAGTTATCAAGCAATTTCAAAGTTCTTTATATGGTCTAGTAGACAAAAAGCGGCGCTACAAAACTGCTATCTCGGATTTTCAAAATTTTTGGTTTTTGACCAAAAAAAATTCAAAAAATTGATTTTTTTAGAAAAACTTTGAAAAAATCCAAAATTTTTCCGAATTTCGAAAAAAAAACCGGAATATATGTGATAGTCCCAGCGCTCTTCATATACATACCAAATTTCAGATCGATATCTCGTTTTTTGGCCAAGTTATAGCGAAAAAACTGTTCAAAAATGATGACGTCAAATTTTGAACTCAATTTTTAGCAATTCTAGACCACGTACGGCAAAACAAAGACCACCATTGAATTCCCCGTGACGAGCTGCATCGATTCGATACCCATTTTATGCAAAAATATTAACTTTGAAATTTGACCTAATTTGACCTGACCTTGACCTGACCTTGACCTGACCTTGACCAAAACGTGATCTAAGCTGGCCCCAAAGGCTGCCTGACCCATATAATCGCATTTGTCATGTAAAATGGACCATAAAACATGTATCACACGACACTTTCATATTGTGACCCCCCCGTGACCTGACCTCTGTGACCTGACCTGGTATCAGTGACCTCAAATAGAAAAATATGTGTTTGAAGAACATTTCCCCATCGATGATTTTCAATGAAATGCATTTACTCGATTTTACAACGCATTTCTTGAAGTGCCTGTAAACGGTGAAAATTGGACCTTTGACCTGACCTGTGACGTCATCGGTTTGACCTAGGTCAATAAAATTGGGTCACAAGGTAGTTCCCGTTGGGGCTATCCAACGCCGTTTACCGCTTGTCGCTATGTTGCGTGGTTCTCGAGATCTTAGGGGGGGGGCCAAAATGGCCCCCCCCCCAACCGGGCGCGTTGCTCGGCAGAGCCCAACGGGGCGCGGGATAAAAGGCAGTCCAGTTGTTCGCAGACCACATCACATAAATGTTCCCCGTGCCTTTTTAGAGAAACAATAGCAATACTTTCATCACAAGGCGCTGGTGGTATCTGAGCACACAATATCCGGACGGACACTCACTAAGCTCGATTGTCACAGATGCTGAACGGATTGCCAGTCTATTATTATTTCTCCATCTCTTCTCGCCCTGCGACCGTCATTTCTGAGCACGGGGG